CCAAACAACATTTCGCTAATTTATTTCTATTCCTCGAACTGTTAGAATCTGCGAGGTCGCCAATTATCAATAGAGCTTGTCTCAAATAGTATATCATATTTACACAATGCGCAATTGCTCAAAAATTTGTCGCCTATAGGCTCAATTCAACCACATTCTTTCTATTGTTATTCTCTTAATATAATAGGCTACTAAAATTAGCTTCTGTTTATTATTAACAAATGAATCATTTTCAAGAGAATCAATGAAAGAAAGTAATGAAATAGCGTAAGTTTATAAAAGTTTCTCTTAAAAAGTAGACTAATATATAAAACAACTATATTTTCTCTATTAGATTCCGAAAATAGTTGAAAACGTTTAGAATTCTCGTCAGTGAAAATACTTATATTAACTAACACACCTCATTCAATCATTTCATGATGTTCATACTTCGATTTATACTCACGAATACGACTTATAATTTCTAGCCTATGTTCATCAACCAAGTATGGTTTCACGCACTACATAAACAATCATTTCCTGACACACTTTTACTTGTTTAGTATTTGTTATTTCGCATGTCACGGCGACTACATAGCATCGTGCTAAATGTAGTACTCAAGTTTCTATCCTTGTCAACATAAAGCAGTTTTCACGTCTATAATAAAGGCATTATCGTCTTGAATGGTAAAATGCTTCAACTTCACGTGTTTGTTCAAGCGATTGATTTACAACAAGTATGCCGCTTCTTCTTCATTGTTCATGTTTGAATCTGATATTTTATCATGTATTTGAAGAGTTTCACTGAACCACTTTCAATTAAAAAAGACGATGAAACGTCTTAATCTTTGCGCATATTTAGTATAGTTATCATTGAATTGGTATTTTTTTATGCGTGTGTCCGTCACTTTTATCTGGACCATGAAAAGTGCGTAGAAGAACATTTCAAAGATGAACTTTTTCATACGATCTGATTGGCATTGCTAGTATGTTTTTAATCTAATAGAGTGAATGAATTTTCTCAGTAATAGGAAATGAAGCGAGCTAGAAACTTTTTTTTATATTGAGAAAGTAAACAATTATTTAGTGATGCAGTTATCGAATGAATAGTTGTGATGTACTATAGATTTCGATACTTTTTTAAATAACGTAAACGGACGGCAAGAAACCATATTTCTTTCATCCTAACATGCAACTGGCTTTTGGCGTATGCGTTAGTAAACAACGAAAAAGAAGAGAACGGTTGGTTCAACTAATTGTATGCGTGGCAATTGTCACAGAAACAACGGAAGCATTTATGGACTCTTAGATAAAAAGTAAATGATTAGGATAATAACAAACAGCCGAAGGAATATACAATGCTTATTCAAAATTTATATAGTAAAGTTGACATGTGACTACGATTACTTATCATATGAATAATCAAAATGTCACGAACAAAACTAATTGAATTTGACAAGTGGAAAGAAGTTTGAAATATAGATTACAATTCTCAATGACAACTAACGATTGAAGCTATCTGGGCTGATTAGAAGCGTTGAGCAGTACTTTAATCTTATTTATAAAGTAATACAGTCAAATACGAACATCATATTATGCTAATTCTTGCTGGCATACGATTTCTAAAACAGAAAGACAAGGTAACATTTTCCTGTAAAAGTGATCTTTTAATAGATGGTTAGTCAGGACAATCGTAGCTCATTGACAGTTGTTGTTTCCGAATTAGTTTGAGAGAATTGAAAAGTTGTAGGTAGAAAGAGAAAGAGAGAAAGTCAAATGACTTGTCACTGAAAATTCTCAATTCATATTTTTAGAAAAAAAAAGAGAATACAATTAATACCACTGACAAATGCACATTGAACTAAGAAAAAGAGAGAGAGAGAGAGAGAGAGAGACAACAATAATCAAAAGACAAAAGAAAGCAGAAGAGAGAAAGAATTGTAATGACTTTTCTACAGATCGTTTGTAAAGAATATTGGCTATTTTTATATCGTTGTCATTCACTGTCAGAAATACATACGATTGAATCGACAAAGGAAAAATTGATTTTCTTAGATATGATTGACGTGATGATTCATTGGAAAAGATATCGTAGTTATTTGAATGAATGAAAAAGTCTGTTCCGTTAAATAAGTAGATATTTCATTTATATAACTGTACATTTGCTTTTTTCAGCCCATGGATTATTCTTCTTGTCCGGTGGATGAATCAATGGATCGCCTTGTTCATTTTCTTGAATATAGCGCTTCAATCTAAACAGAAGAAAAAAACCGCCGTTGGTAACTGTTACTATTTTTAAGACGAAGAAATCGATCGTTTCGAAGTGAGAAAAGATAAGAAGCATGCATTCGAATGTTTCGGGTGCAGAAGAAAAAGAAACTTACTCTTGAAGTGTTTTCGATAGCGGTACTTTTTCTACGCGTAATTGATAACGCAATGAATCGATTTGTTTCTGTAGTGAACCTTTATCCATGATTGATTTGAGAGAAAAAGTTTTGTTTCGTTAGTAGACTTTGTTTGAAGTTGATTCTCGTTCGGTGGGAAAGTTTTGTCCAGAAGATAATATCAAAGAATTATGGACAAATACACACGCACGTTCTCTCGAATAGAAACGATAGAAAGAACGAGAGTGCGAGCACAACAACAAACCGCTCGTCGAAGAGATATATTCTGGAAAAAAACGAAGGAAAAGAAAAGAAAGAAAGAGAATCAGACAGAAGACGACCGAGCGAGCGACCGAGCAAGCAAATACGCGAAAAAAAATCAGACAACATGCCGTTTACTCGTATGTGAGAATGTGTGTGCGTACTTTAAAAGAACGAACAAGACGTGAAAAAAGAAAAAAAGGAGACGGAAACAACGATGCACTACTACTCCGAGCCATATATACATCATGAGCGAGCGCCAAACAATTCTTTCTGTTCTTTCTATTCCCTAATGCTACTGTTCGTCAAAGATTCTCTTATTTCTAGGTTTTTTTTCTCTCTATTCGGTCTAATGATAGTATGACGTTGTCGTAGTTCAGCTCTACTATCTTTTTTCTTCCTTCTTCTTCTTCTTCTTCTTCGATTTAATTGAGACGAGTGGCAAGAAACGAATGTCGAATAGCACCATACGTGCTTGCAACTAGCTTTGTTTATTGTATGAAACATGCATTCAATAATAAAATCAGCAAATAAATGCTCTTGATTTGTAAGGAAGAAGAAATGAAAATGTAAATATTACTCACTCCATTAAAGTTCTTGACAATGGTGTACGTTCAACTTTCAATTGTTGTCGAAGATTTTCTACTTGTTTCTGTACCGTAATAGTATCCATCAATAAGATCAACTAGGTTTTAATCGTTGTAGAAATTATGAAAAACAAATGCACGTAGAGCAAGTGGCGAACGCTTTGTTGATATTTTATCTCATCTAGAATTGAAAATACATGTTTCGAAAACAAAATACACCCGTCTCAACGTATTGACTTTTCCTACTAGGAGAAAAACAACATTTACCGTTCTCGTTTCCTCTACATCTGCTAAATCAATGACTGTAAAGTACCTACGTAGATCAACGTATGCTATCATATTCTTCTTTCGATTTGATCGAAGACCGAACGCATTCACGGTGAAAATGAGTCTTGCTGTTCAGATCTTGCTGTATCTAGGAAAAATCATCAGACGCTTTCGAATACGTTTAACTATGTCACACACATAAACGCAAATGTAAACATGAATGGAAAATAAAAAGTTGTCATAATGTTGTGCGTAACAGAAGACAAGAAAAAATGAGAACGAAAGAAGAAAAGAAAAAAAGAAGCCGAAAATGACTTTTTTTTCTAAACCCATATAACGGTGCACCATTACTGGAAGAAAACGAGAGAATGAATGACAAAGTATGAACGAGACATGAACTAACATCTCTCTCTCTTTTTTTTTACTTGTATGTGTAGGTTAACCAAAGAAAGTCACGAGAATGGTTGAACGCATTGTCAGTAAAGTCTCTCTCTCTCTCTCTCTCTTTCTTTTTTTTTTCTTTCTCATTTTCTCTCTTTTTTTTCTTTTCACATAAGTATAATATACTCGAATGCAAGTCTTTATTAAATAAGAAAAACTAAAGAGAAATTGTTCGAGCTGAAAATGACATTCGCGCATCCGATCAGCAATATGATGTGCTCTCGATTGACTAAGTTCTATATCGAATCATGTGTGAAGAGCTGAGAGAGAAGCGCGGATCTACAACTGTACCGTGCAATTATGCGTCAGCCATAGTCGATCGTCTGTGCGTGTCTTCAAACATTTTCTTCGAAGAAAGAATGAGGATACGTCGAAATAAAGAAAAGTAACAATAACTAAAGTAAACGCTTCTTATCTACTTCCAACGAAATACCATTAGACGTTTTGAATATATTATGACGGAAAGTGCAGCGAACAACTGAAGTGCAGTAACCGGTAATCAGTATCGACTTCATCAAGTATGCCATTATGTTTGAGTGGTGTTCGTTATCTTATTTCCTTGATTATTCAATGCCAGAAAGAAACTATTCATTCGTCATACTCTCTATTCAATTTTTTCCACACTATTGCCTCTCGTCTTCCTTTGTAATGGACGAACTAAGCAATGTTGCAGAAAAGCCTTCGATTCGAAAATCGATGATTGATTCCACAAGAAAGATATTAAAAGGTTTAGTATATGATTTATCTTTTCGCGAATAGATATGTGTGTATAAACAATAAAACACGCAATCAATTTTGGAGTATTATTCAGCATACAATAAAAAAAAAGGAAGTAGAAGAAGAAAACAACATGATAAACGTAACGAAACAAATAGGAGAGAAAATGTAAGTCAAAAGATTCCTTTCGTTTGTTGCGGAAAATCAAGGCACGATGACAAGATGATTATTATTGTTAGTGTTATTACTCGAAGCAAAAGTTAATTACAAAAATCATTCGAAATAATTCACAATTACAAACACATACAACAACGCAAAGCAGACTGAAAAAGAGACAGAAAAAGAAAGAGCAAAGGTTATATATTTAACTATGTATGGCAGACGATTGATTATTTGTACCATTGAAAGCGTGAAGTTCGGTTATAATAGGCGCCTGACGAACTTTGACTGAAATCGGTCGAGGCGGCTTGGGAGGAGGAGGAGGTGGGGGTGGAGCAGCAGTTTTTTTACTTGATTTTGGTGATGCTCGCGATGGCAATTGATCGTGACCATTGGATGAAACTGTTATCCATGGCTCAATATCAACTGAAAAGAATTCTTTTTTGAAACAGGCAATTTGCCTTCGAAAGAAATACCTTTGATTGGAGTTGATTGAAATGTCGGAAGATCATTGGTGATATTTACTGAGTTGATATCTATGGCTGAATCAGAATTTGTACTAAAACCACTGTTATTGCCAGTCTGATCAGATTTTACTGTTGTGATGGATACAGGTTCTTCAGGTTCAGTTTTATGACTCTAGAAAAGTTAACATTCAATCGATACCACAGATACGTTAGAATGAAGTAACCTACTTCGAAGTTTTGTGACGTAGGCGTCAATGATGAAATGGAGTCCTTTGAGGGTATTTCATTTGTGTTCGCTTGTTTGATTGCTTTCTCTTCGACTGATCTTAAGATTGTCTTACGTTGAAGTCTATCATAGGAAATCATCCTGGAATAGGGAAAGTTCATTTGCGGTGAAAATGAGATTTCACATAGTTCGGGTGATGACTGTAAGTAAAAAGCATGTGCGTAAGGCGTAAATTGAAAACTTGACAGAGCAGTTATGTCGGTTGGCTTTATACAATTGAACAATATTTGACGACGAAGTGCTGGTAATGTATAGATACTTATTTGGCCCATGTTATCCAAACAGACAAGGCACGATTCGGAATGAGATTCATTTGGATTGTCTAAATCAATTTCAACTATCAGTGTAATCTAATAGATACGTTGACGTCATTACCTGTTTTCGATGTGAACTGATTGATATTAATTTTTCGTACTCGTGTGCCTTCAGTTGCTGTTAATTTGTATTTACATACTGGTTTCAAATGTGGCAACGTGAATATCTACGAAATATTGATCAATGTCAGAGAATAGATGAATTTTTTTCGTTACCTTAAATTGTTCTTCAGAGCAAATTAGTACTCTATGCGTGTTGATTTGTTCTGGATTGCCTGACATTGATGCGGATGAAATTTCAGATGACGATTCTTTCATTGGAATATTCGAACCTTGTCCGATTGATTGATAGGCATTGTCAAGTACAGCAATACTTAACACAGGTGCTTTGTGTTTCAAGCGAATCTCTTTGGCTAAAATACAGAACATGTACAAGTTCGCTCATGAGTAAACACGAGTAATTTACCCAATGAACACGTGCTTGTTTGATCTGTTGCAATAGAAACTTGACTACTCGACTGAGATTCTAAACCAACGATTGAGTAGACGTAAACATGCCCACCGTTAGTGCCAATCCATAGTGAACGTGTGCGATCATTGACTACAAAGAAAGAACGTTTCGTTTCAATGACGAAGAGTCTTGTTTGGTTTTTCTAAATCTTACCACTGTTCAGAAAGGTCTTGGCAAAGTATAAGCATCGAACCATGCTCAACACTTGATCATCATTTTGTTTGAATTCTCGAAATTCGACTTGCCGTTCGACTGGAACACGTGTAATTTCCTCCAAATGCATATTCGTTGGTGACAATGGACTATTTTCATCGATTCGTTGATTTGTTGTTACCATTGTTGCTTTTTTCGTTGTTCTTCCCTTACGAAAACGTCGGAAAGATTCTCGAAGCGATTTTTTCAATGACCGTCCACGAATTAATGTTGAATGTCCAATCGACGATGGTGTATTGGATGTAGTATTGCCCAAGGCATTGGGATCAAGTGTACATTTGGCAGTGAGAATTCGGTTTTGTTGATAATTGATTAATGCAAAACCATGAGATGTGCCGACAGCATAGCTAGAATTAGTTAAAAAACAGCAATGATATTGACAGTCAAGAGCGTAAGACTGTACCTTTGAATGTCGGAACACAATGCTAGTGCTGAAACAGCAGCAGGTGGATAGAGTTGAATGGCTGAAGTAACGAAAAAGCCAAATGGAACAAAAGTTGATTTTGTTTTTAATTCTTCATGGCCTTTCCATACGAAACTTTCGCAACCTTCCAGTAAATTTACAGTGATCGTCTGTAACAAGGTTTACATGTGTACATTGTCTAATTGAAGAAGATTTGATACTTACGTTGACGTTAACATCAATAGCTTCAGAAGTGAATTGAAATGTAAGAACTTGCCCAGCAGTTCCAGCAACAATAAGAGTATCAGTTCGTGTACATAAGGCTATTTTTTGTATAGCTAAACGAGGATCATCACAATATGGATCATAAGTACCAGTCTAGAAGAAACAATACATTGACAAAGAGGCTTCCAATGAATCTCTAGAAGTTATAGTTAAAAGCAACATGAAACAACATTGCTGGTCTTCTCTCTTTCTCCTAAACAATACGCATCGACATCTCACTGGCTACTTTCATGTTTTGATGTACTCTACAACTGACCTTTTTGAATGGAGGCCATGTTTCTTCGTCGACATCATCAACGGGCGCTTGTTCAACTTGAAAATAATCATTTGTTTTTAGTTTATAAACCAGTGGCATAGAGATGTTTGTAACATCCCAAAATTGTACTGATCCATCTTCATGTCTAATCGAATGAACGAAACTGCTTTTAACCTTTTTCTTCATTCAGTGAACTTACCCGGTGAGTAATAAATTCTTTTGTTGTGAATCATGGTTAAGATGATTTATTTCTCCACCTGTTATCGGCCATTTCTATTGGAACATAAAAGAACGCACATACATTCAAAGCAAGTAGGTCATCTTTCACATACTCGATCTGAATAATCTTCGAATTGTATTGACGCATAATTGAGGAGCTTTTTGTAAAATTCTGTATTGACGTCGCTGACTAATGTTGTACATATAACAGGTGAAGCATGAATACTATTTAAATATGGCATATGATACAAAGGCCAAGAATCAGTGATGAGATCAATCACAATGATTTCTTCATTTAACAAAACGACCAGAGCTTCAGGATCGTCACGAGCTACAATTAAAATGAGAAAAAGATTTTCGATTGAAACTAATCTTTCCTAACGTTCTTACCTCTATCGATTGTAAAAAAATCAATGACTTGTGTAGTAAAATCAAATGCAATATGTCTTGTTCGTTCGGCATTATGTTCGTTTTCGCATAAACAACTAATACTATGCTTATTCGCATAACTTGAACGAGGTAAACCACCGGCAAATATAATTAAAGGATCACCACTAAACAAGTTACATGAAAAGATTCATTTCATTAAACAACTATTAGGTTTTACTTTCGAAGCGTTTTGACACAAATTTGCGTCATCGGCGTACATGGATACGGTCCGTATGGAATCTTTTCGATGTCAACTTTATTCAGTTGTTGTTTAGGATCCCATAATGCATAACTTCCGTTACTATGGCACGTGGCAAAGTTCATTCCTTGATTGTACCAACAAACGGATTCCACTTCTTGTTTATAGATATAAGTTCGATCGTGACTATTCGATGGCAAATCCCAAAGAACGATAAGTTTATTCTTATAGCCAATTAAAACTTTATCGTCGTTAGTCGGGTGTTGAACAATCGATTGCACGGCGCCAGGATGAATTACTCGTCCGCTGCAGTACTCAACAATTCTGGAAAAAAAAACAAATAAATAATCGATGGGGATTTTCCATCGTGAATAGCTTACGTTTTTTCGATAGTTTCCGTTGGAATGACAGGCGTAGCGTTCAATGTGAAGGTTTCGATGTTAAACGAATAGATATTTCCATTTGTTACACCAATTAACAAATTCGAATTGTTTCTTAACAAACACAACGTTTGAGTATTTTTCAGGATCGCTCCGTCATCTTCATTCGATGTGCATATTCGATCGATTTGTAATGTTGGCGAATTATTGATTTCGAGTAAATGCAGATAACCGTCCAATGTCAATATCAACAATCGTGCAAGATTATTCAAGAAGAGGATCTTCCGTATCGATGTCGAATCAAGATTATATGACAGTTGAAAATCCGCTTGTCCGTAGCTAAACGGGAAAGAGATCGATTTGAATGGAAGTGACAAGAAGTCGATTCCTTACATTCGTATGTCGCCAGTATGTGTTCCAATTGCAACTAACTTCAATTGAAAATCATACGCAATCGCAGATGGCCGCGACGGAAAACCCCGATCACAAAGTTTGCTGAAAGAAAACAAATCTTTCTGAAGTCGGCGCCGCGCTTCATTTTCTTCAGGTTGTTTACGACCAAGTTTGAATTTGAACATCGCTTAAGAATACTGAAAAAAAACAACAAATGTGATGTTGATTGATCTGAAAGGAGAAAAAAAAACAATATATACGAGTCATATTACAAGTTAAATTGATAGTATGTCAAAACTCGGCAAACAGACGTTCCAATTAATGTCAATGGTAAAAAAGTAAAAGTATGTACGTGCGAGTGTGTGTATGTTTTTTTTATATTCTCGTGTGTCTATCGACCGATATACTCCAAGGAAGATTGAGCCGGTCAAACGGTCATTCTATTCTTCCTTTTTCTCTTTTCTTTACTCGAGAGACAGCAGAAAGGCATTGTAAATGTTGAGTTGAAGAGAGTAAAATGAAAAAAAAAGAAGAATGAAGGAATGAAAGAAGACGAGCTCGACGCGTGCTAAGATGATGTGTCATTGCTCATGATTAATCATCAAATGAAAAACACACATACGGCCGATGAATCATATGAATCTCTTTTCAAAATGCTCAGATATGAAAAGCAATAATTATTTTTCTCATTTGTTTTAGAAATGTCATGCTCTAATTGATTGCTGAAACATTAAATTATTTTTATCCCGATACATAAATAGTCAAAAGAAAAACTAATGGGTATGAAGAGACCAGATTGATTGAAAGGTTATTTTTTCCTCATATTCATTAACATTAGACTATAATATAAAAGTTTGATAGGTTCAATCGGAAGGAGGACACTCGTACTCACATTGGAGTTGATTTGATTACAAGTGATGTTTTCCATAACCTGTCTATATAGATATATATATCAATGAACACTTCACATAAAATAAGTGTAATATATGAAGTTGTCCGAGGGATTATCTAATCACTGCTAAGTACAATTAGTGAGAATTACATCACTTATAACTCTCGCATCTCAACTATAATCGATTTTTCTTGTTCATCTATGAAAAGAAACAGATGTATATTCTGTCCTATCTAGAGAACAAATATCGGATGAAATTCTGTATGAGTATATTTTCTTCGAGATGGACTAATAAAAAGAATAAAATAACAAGATGAGAATATAGATTTCAATTACATTTCCAATTAATCATTCGGTGTTTCGTCTAGAACGAGAATGAACAGGTGTCCGAATAGAGCAGAAAAAAGAACTTACAGGGTTGGCGCGAGACTCCAATCAGGTTGGACTTCTTTTGCTTTGAATTCTATACCATCATTGGTTACAATACAAACACGATACTAATCCAGGACAAGGAATACGAGATCGAAAAGAAAGAGAAACACCTCAACTTACACGGGCAAATGCTCGACAATCTCGATAAAATAATTGTTTAATAATTCGATCCATCAATTGCTCAGCTTGATCTTTATTGAGTTGATTTGAATTCTCTAAGATAGTTCGAATCCAGCCCTAAGAAACTCAATAATAGAACAAACGTTCAACATCATCCATAAAGGTATACTTGAGCTAAGTGATTAGCAATACCAGTCATAATCAAAAACTCTCTGTAAGCTGAGCCTTTATCATTAACTCGTCCGAGAAATCTAGAACAAAATTGATCGAAAGGACTATTCACAAGAAGAACTTTCTTCTTTACTGACGGCTCTTTGTTTTCCATTCCAGCAACAATTACATTTGTTAGCAATGGATTGAATTTCGTTCGACGATGATACAACAATCTCGTACACCAAGCATAGAGAGCTAATGGTGTCATTTCACCACCGTCTTCTTGAACAAGATCTTCTTCTCTACAAAAGATAATCTTCGTACCAAAAAAGGAACCAATGATTACGTACACTTTCGAATCAATCGCTTCTTTAATATAATCAGCATCAGACAAGTCACCACCGATGGCAAGAACAGTTTTTTCATTAACTTGATGTATACGAGGAATATTTCGATATTTTGCTAACGAACCGTAGGAACCGAGAACGTCAGCAGCTAAGATAACACCATCTTTGAAGATGAATGCAGCAACTGAAGAACCAGTTACGACGGGCGTTCTTTCATTAGATGAGATTTATATGAGATGATGATCGAACAATAGACTTACACAGTACGCGTGCGAATATTTCGTTCAGCTTCTGTTTCTAATGGATCGATTGTATAGTTTTTAGACGATGTATTTATCTTAAAACTATCTTTATCATTGATTGTATCCCAACATGGTTGACACGGTTGAAAACCACTCAACATTCTTTTGTCTAAACTGAAATTCGACAAGATACTACTATCAGAAGAAGAAATCGTTAGTTGTTGTGATCGTATAAAGTAAAATATTCCATGTAACCTGTGCGTGCATTGCACAAATATATTCAAACGGTAATTGGTCCAGTTATGAAGCACATCACAGTAGATGTCATTAAACTCCGCTGGCAATGTACAAATAGATACGGCAATGAAATGAAATGTATTATTCACGAACTATTTTTTTTACAATTGTCAAGAACAACATGATTCAAGTGGACATATTATATTTTAGTATGAAAAAAATACACATGTATTTATTTTATGGGAAATGAGAGAAAGTAAGACTAAATGTTCATTTTTTAACTTTCATATGTATGAGAACTTTGGCGACGATTGCGATCTATGAAAAGAGAAGAAAAATGTTGTGATTAAACGATACAAAGAAAATTTCATCATGAAACTAACTTCCTTGACTTGGTGCCAATGGCGCATAATCGGAAGTGCCAAGCGAAGCGAAACCTTGTTTCAATGTCATGGGCTCAGAATAACTAAGATAGAAAGCAAAAAAATAAGTAAACACTTTCGAAAATAGACTCGGATTTCGTACTTATTCACCCCTGGTCGTTGTGTATATTTATGATCACCGGGTTGAATTCCTCTTGCAAATGGATCAGGATCTGATGAGGAACTTTCTCCGTTATATATTCCATTCGTTGTTCGTGGATCATTTCGTGTACTTCGAGTACGAAAATTAGTAGGAGTCAATACTCGATCGACACTTTCTCTATCAGAATCATCATCTAGAAATATTTTTCGATTAATTTTACTTGTGGAATGTATACGACTATGAAGCTTACCTGTAGATTGATTGGTGGTTGTTGTAACACTATAATTAGAAGGTGTCGGACTGTGTCGACGATACGAACGTGCTTCCGATTGATATGAGCTTGGCGAATATTGATTGGTTACGGTTCTCGGAGTTGTAGGTGTTGAATTATATCCTCTCGATTGAGATTCCGTATACGACGAACTGCCAGATTGTTTTGAGGTAAGTGTTGGTGGTGTATTGCTTCTATTACTATCATTAAATGTTACGTTAGCACCGCTATGATACAAGTCGAACTGTCGTGCAACATTTCCACGATTATCTATGGAAGAGAAGAGAGTATGTCGAAAGCGATTGCAAGTTTAACTATTTACTCAAATCGCTGAAATTGACAAGAGTCGATGTTGCTGGTGGTTCAGGTCGACTATTCAATGTACCCCGAGATGAAGGACGCTGATTGAAAGGGGAACGTGTCGAAAATGATCGTTGCGGGCTGTTGCGTACAGACGTAACTGTTCGAGTTGGAATATAGTCTGTAACTTCGAAGAGCCTCATTTGACCTGTCGCTTCGTCAAATACTTGAACATAGCGGCGTTCCATACGTTCTTTTATTTCTGTAACGAATTGTTTGCCATTACGTTCAACAATCGTTGGACGAGACGCGTATGTTGCTAGTTGATTATCGTTCGTTCGTCGATGTTTATTTAAATTGACAACTGAACGACGTATGATTACTGGATCATTACTCATCGTTTGATTGCGGTGTGGCACAGGAACTCGCAAAGAATACGCGCGACGAGGAACAATGATAGGTTCTTGTTTCGGATAATGATTGATGTTCGGATGTAAGCTTGGTGATTGAATAAACTGTCGGAAAAAAACGAGTGTCTACTTAGCCGAACACATTTGCAAAATGTCATCTTACTTCGTTGATTGGCGATGTTACCTCTTCGATAGGTGATAATTGATGGGTAATATCAGGTATTTTCTCAGTCGATTCAGAAATACGTACGGGATAGGGAATCTACTTAATCAAGATAAGTGTACGTTGTCAAAAGAAAAATGAACGAAGGATTTACAGAAAGTGTTCCCACAAGAGGTTGTTGTTGAACGTTGGATACGTCTAGCTTTGATAGGCTGATTGGCTGTATTGGCTGTTTAGCAAGTGCACGATTATAATCTTTCTTCGAACTGTCGAAAAAACACAACACACCTGTATCTCATCTCTTTGACTTATCGTAAATAATATTTTCTCTGCACTGTCCTTCAAAAGCATTGACATTTACCACCACTCACCTGAATGTCTTGCCCATGTTTAGTTCGCGTTCTTCCTATAAAAAAAAGCTCTGCCGAAGCACATGTAGTTTTCAATAAGTTTCACTTCATTGATTTCTTCTCATATAAATGATAAGGTTGACTATTATTAACGATACGCAGCAGAAAAAAAAATCAAACTATGTACAATACAAAAAAAGAAACAAAACGCTGAAATCAAATGACTACAAATCAGTAACGGAAGTACGGAGTAATATGGGTTGATTGAATCGAGGATTATGAGAATTGGATATAACTGAGTCCGTATCAGTACTTGACGATGAGAATGAATAACAACGACCATTTTGACGACGATCAACGGATAGCAGTGGGACAATTCCGCAGAAACGTGAATTGCTACCAGTGCATGATGATGAACTTGACGAGGCACTGGAAACCGCTGATGATGATGGTGTGCTTTGGATACGTGGTGGGGCATTTTGTTTTGTTTGTTTTTTGTTTGTTAATGACGACTTTTCGTTTGTTGCTAACTGTTGAGAAAATGTTACTTTCGTTGGTGATTTGAATGAAGATTGTAGACGAGGTTTACAATCGTTCGGCATCGATGGAGTTATTAATGCTTGACGAATGATATACGATAGGGACGGTGATGGGCAATTATTGGAATCAGTTGAACAGATGCTAGTTCGAGCACTGGCTGAATTCGTTAAACTTCGTGTATCAGAGTATGCATCAGTCTATAGATATAATATTTCAATGAAAAGAAAAGAAGAAACATCGACTTTTACCTGATCAGGAGATGATTTTGCACGTTTTAGATTGTCTAATTGTTGTTCATAGTATAAACGACGTTGACGTAATTTTTCTGCTTTCTAGAAAGTCAAGTGAAAGTTTTTTTCCCGATAATACTGAAAATACCCTCATACCTCAATAGCTTTCAACCGTCCTTCCGAATTCAATGTAACGGATTGAATTTCCTCTAGTAAACATTTTCGATCGACCAAAGTTTCGTCGATATTAAACAAGATCTTTCGTAACGGTTTAACATCTTCATTGATGACCAAGCTAAAACAATGTAAAGTATATCATCTGTAAACATTCAGTTCGATAAATCAACATACCGTTTGAGTTGATAGAGCATTGTCGTTAAACGTTTACATTTCTTAATTGTATAATCGAGACGTTCGGGTTCTTCGCGGAGAAATCTTACAAAGAAAGGACGTTTACTTTTTCGTAGCATAGAAACAAGACTTCAACGTTCTTACTGTGCTGTGGATGGATGTTCAGATGTCGATAGTTTTTGTTGTAATGTAGGAAAAGAAGCTGAATAAAGGGAATAGTGAGATGGTTTTGTAGAGAGGAGATGTTACCTTTTAAATCTACTAGTGCCCGACTGATAGTGCTGAGTATAAATGCGAAACTTTCGACATCATTGATGGTGACATAGCATTGTTTGGATTTGACGTCATTTTGTAGTTCTTCCACGGAGATTTCTAAATCTCTATTTCGAGAGAGAGAGGGAGAATTGATTAGAAGTTGAGCTTTGGAAAAGCAAAATGTTTACTCGAGATCTTGATCAATTTTCGTTCGATTTTGTAGATATAACTTGTATTCATTTTCAATAAATCGATACGTTTCATTTTGAGCCAATCGTTCCTTAAAAGAGAAACACATTTTTTGCTTTTTAACGAGCCGAAATCTTCATTTACTTGAATCTTTCGATTCGCTCTTTCCAATTCGTTTTGAAAATTTTCTTGTAACGCTTGTTGCATACGCCGTATGGATAATAAATCTTGCCGTAATGTATGAGTTTTTATTTTCAATTCGTATAACTGTTGCTGAAAAGGATTATTGTCAAAATCTTGTAAGATCTTTGATTTTGTCGGCGTTGTCAATTGCTTGACTAATTCAGTGAGGGATTCCAGTTGTCGTTCCATCATCGGTATTTTTGTACTAAAATCAAAGACATACGATCGTGTAGGAACTAAGTCTGGACATCGGAAGTGTCCGATGCATCGATCAATCATTCCATTCCACAGACATCTTCCTTCCCTGGCTGATGATCATTTCCTTCCTGTATATTTTTTCTTACCGAGCGTCTTCTTCGTCGAAGTGAGGCGTTGTTGAGCCACTTCTCGGCGAAGACAAAATTCCTTTCAATACTATGAAATAGAAAACATATTTAGTCGAAAAAGATGATGAGATATTTTAGTAACAAACTCGTCGGTGTTGTGTCACGTCTTGGTTCACTACGAGAACGTGAAGGTGTCTCATCTATTGATTCATTTGTTGACAATGTACGCGTGGGACGACTTAAACGTTGATAGGGCACTTCTCCACTCGTCGGTGAGTTCGATGAGCGTTCAATTTCGGGTTCTTTGAATGAAACATGCTGTTTAAGATTCGTGCTAGTTAGTTGAACGATTTTTAGAATTGAACGATCTTTCACATCACTAAATCAGCCAGCAAAGTTTTTTTTTTCGAGAATGAAATTAACTTACTTGACATCATCTAGTTGATAGAAAATATCCTTGTCGGATTCGCGAATGTAAATCCGAACGTTTTCATTATCCATTTGTTTCATTGTTAAGTACCGCGGAAATGCTCTGAGAGGAGAATTTGCAATCGAATCTTCTTTCTCTCTCCGTTGAAATGACTTACCGAACAAATAATGCTTTGAGCGTGTCGATACATGAAATGTTCGCTGGTAGGAGAATCTTTTTTGTTTCATTACCGCAAATCAAGAAGCAAAGGCCAAGTGAATTGGATTTGGATGAATTCGTTGCTGGTTTAACAATAAAAGGCAGACTTGAACGTATACGATGATTACGAACAAAACCTATTGAAACACAAAAAAAACATCGAATTTATACAAATATTTCTATTTGTTTGACATACTATGGATGTTTTCTGCGGGTAATTGATCATCTGTTGGATTAGTTGACGATGAACGTTGATGGGATGAATTATTTCGTGTCTATGAAGAGATAATGGTTACTAAAGAACGATGTAATTATTAATTTCTTTACCATTATGGGTGTTGATACCGTTGATGATGGAGATTTACTTCGGAGAATATCCACAAGTATGCGCTGCTGTTCATTATCATTCTATTGAAAAAAGAAAGAAAGAAAGAAATTCATCTATAAACTAATTCATTCACTCATATAATCGAATTAGATCAGATTCAGATCCAACGATATGCCTCTGGACAATTCGATGAAGGACTTCGAATTATATTTTCAAGTATCCTATCTCTAACTATTCTTACTTATTCATACAACTCGTGTGTCTGTTTAAGCATCATCTCATGAGTTGTATATATGCGCTTTATTATGCAATATGAATGTAGTAAACATACAAGAATCAATCATTCGTCGAGGATGATTTCTTAATAGTTCTCTCTCTCTTTCTGCTTGTTCTCCTCTATTTGTCGTAACTTGTTGAAGAAAAAAAAATGATTTCATTCGGATGAGTGCTACTGATAGAATATACAAGGAGAAAAACTTTCAATAAATCATCTTCTTCAACGACGATGAAAAGTAGTACGTCTCTTCGAATTAATATTCACGAAAAGATTGCTGTTCATTACTTGTGCAAATCCTCTAAGGATATCTTCTTTTCTACGCATTTGTTCACCTCCATTCTGTAAACATGTTCGAACTACTAAATATAATAATTTTCGACATGAATTGCAAAAGAATACATCATACGAACTGCCCCCTGACTGACATTACAATGTTCTCATTTCTTTCGTTTCTTATTCTTCTTCTTCTTCACACAATTACATTATTTAGTACGAACAACGCCTCTAAGTAAATCTCAGCTCGACAAGACAAATCAAATCTCCGAATGAAAAAAAAATGATGATGTTACGAACTACAAGGAAAGGAGCGCGAACGTGTCCAAAACTGACACGGCAGCACACATGATAGATTCGAATGCAGTTTTAACAGCCGTATCTATACCCATCTCGTTTACTTACTTAGGAACAATGTCTACGTACATAGTTGTATATCCAGTTGTCCGGCCATGGCATATACTAATTCTATCCAGCCGAGATCGAGAAGTTGTAAAGGGAAGCAAGAGAGAAGAACAGAGGAGAAGGAGGAAGAAGAAAAAAAGAACGTAAAAGGAAACTGAATAATGACAATGATCAAACAAGTCAAAGTAATACAGGATATAATACATTTACTATGAATGGACAATATGTGTGCACGCACGAGGCAAAACAATGTCGCCTCGAGTGTCTTTCATCATAATGACTAACTGCTTGAAACAAAGATAGACATGAGACATACTATCCGAGGAATTGGAAAGTACACAAATGAATGACACTCAACATAGACATTGGAAATGTCCGAATTAATTACTAATTTCTTCTTCTAATCAAATAATTCATTGAGAAAATCGATTATAATCAACGAGAGCATGCGGATTTCTATGCAGTTCATTTACCTTTGGATAGTTGCTATTCATATGATTATTGTTATCATCGACTTCTAAGTATTCATCTTCTTTCACTGATTGCAACGGCTTCGGATAATTATTCGCAATTGTATTCAGACACTTATGATGATTATATAAAATAGCTGTTTCAACATCATAGATTTCATTTTTCATTTGTGGTGTTACTGCTTCTACTGCTGTCGATGACGACGATGATAAAGCTGGTCTTGGATCTTGACGAAATGAATTCGACGGTGTCGTTGATCGTGATGACATTGACGATAAGGTCGTGCTGGCAACGCTACGCGACGAGTCTGTCCGAACGGGTATCAATGGCCGTTGCTGCTGACGTGTAGACACTGAATTTTTCGTATGCATTATCGATTTCACTTTGGATGATGATGGTGGTGGCTCGCGATAGATATGACTTCGTTCGAGTTCCGACATATCTATGATTGGATTCTTTGCTAATTGATGTGCTTTGATATTTTCATAGGATCTGATTCGAGTATAATTATCTGCTTCGTTAGGCTTCGTCTGGTGATTAACTGTAATTGTAGGAGATTCGGCAGCTAGCAAGAAAGAAACAAATTGTAATATATTTGCCACCCGGCGATATAATTTAAAGTACTAACGGATCTCCCTTTCTCTTTTCCTTCTTCTTCGAAAATGTATTAAAGTTCAAGTATACAGCTGCAGAAAAAGATACATTTTTCGACTGAAAGAAATACTGAATGAATCATCGAGAAAAAAAAATTAATTTTGACATCTTACATAACCCAGTTCTAATCTTCTCATATCGTATATATTATTCTTAACTAGAAAAAGGTCAATACTCAGCGCTCGAAATCTATATCCTGATCTACATGAACAACAACAACAATTGCAACAGCAGTCACAGAATCAGATTCAAGGTGAGTACAGATGTTAAAACAATTTTCTCGTCAGATTCGATAACGTTAACATCATCATTTGTTCACCTACTGCGAGATCTATAAATAAAAAGAGAAAGAAACAAGTGAATTCCTTCTAGTCCGCTGTTCTCGCAAGGGTCATCGATATGCGCTGAATTGAACATAAGATCGAAGAAGAAAAGGATTGACTTGAAAATAAAGGCAAACTTTATTGATTAACTACGATGACGTCGGACTACGGTCATTGAAATGCGATACCCCACGCATGCAAAGAATGTGTTCTTTCGATTATGTAACATCATCGAAAAAAAAACCGTACGAGTTAATCAACAAATACCTACTTTCATATGTTTGTTTAACTATCCAATGCCAAACACGATCATAGACTCTTCTCATCGAATCAATATTACTGCTATTCATTGCGAATAGAGTATTTTTTTTCTTGCCGTCGAAATGTGTCAAACTTACATTCTGTATGTTTTGAATTGTTGGTTCTTTTCTCTCGTCATGTTTCTCGTTTAGTTTTTTTTTTTATTTCGACGAAAGAAAAATGTCAGAGTGGCAATGAACAAAGAAACAAAATGAGGCGAACACTTCTTTCTTTTTCTATTTAATCAATCCAATATCGACAAGTACTAATTCATCGTCATCCCTAGCCTTGACAAACAAAGAAAAAAAGGTTATTTATCTTATCCTATGAACATAACTCTTCAAGACATGTGTTTATCCGAGAGTGATGACCGATATACAAATATCATCAAATCGTTTTCACTCAATTATTCCATAGGAGAATGATCCGTCGAAGAAGTTTTTTTTTATTAGTTACAGTTATATCAACAATGATCATTATCTCATATGCCTTCAATCAAATGTTTGATCTCGTTCTCAAGGTGAACAATGTGAAATTGAATGTAATGATATAATTTCCTTTTTCTTTCTCAATCGAACCTATGCAGCAGATGTTCAGTGAGTCTAAACTGAGGAGAAAAAGACACTTTAAATTGACGTTATTGAAACGAACAATACACTTTTTGTCCTACCGAAGATAATGATGAGGATATTTGAAGAGGCAAGGAACGAAAAAAAGTGTCTTCAAGGACATGAGAAACAGAAAGAGACGTCAAAGTTAATTTCGATCGATTATGAATGTGTTAAAAATGAAACCATTTCTCTACCTGCTGATAAGCAACTGATACGTCGATGTGTGAGAAGATTTTCCAGAGATCGCGTTAAAGAAAACCGATCTGCCCAACTTGACCACATAACGATGAAATCAAATGAACGATATTTTACTGCTCTGAACTATATTCGATTTCTTATCTATTCTTTCTTTTTTTTTCTACTCATATATATATATATGTATACATGTATCATAGTTCAACTCGCTCTTTTTTCTCTCTATTGAGATTCTAATCAATTAGATTTGTTATATCACATGTTCTATTACCTATGAGCATGTACTCTTCTTAAATTAACCGGAAAGTTATATTAAAATACTTCTGTTTCTTCCTCGCCAACATCAGCTCGATAATGTACATACCCGACGCAAAATTGCCTTCTGATTTTGTTTATACGCGAAGTTCGAAGCAAATAAACAGATAGAAATTATTGATGATTCTCATTTATTCTCAAATGAAAGGCTGTTTACAGCTGTCGACGAATTGACAATAACTCATTAGATTTTAATGCCGTCTGTTTTTCGAGTGAACAGAAAAGTCGTCGGATGTCAATGTCTTAGCCATTCTTTTCGGAAGAAAAGAAGCAACGAGAACTTCCTTTCCCTCTCTTCTATTGAACTTCCGTCTGTCAACAGATCAATCAAGCGTATGACATAAAAAATTTTTTCATGTCAAAATGTCATCTCTCTTTTCCTTCTTCGTACACTTGAAGAAAAACAACGTCGAACCTGGTAACCGTTCAAATTGATTCAACAAGCAATCTGTCTATCATGTCAAATCCCATTTCGAACAATCACTACCTTCTCATATTCACCAATAAGAAGATGAACATAATAATGCACACAATTTGAATATGTACGAATGAGCAAATCTGATGAATCGTGATGATAGAAGCTCAAATTTTCTCATCATGAAGGTCACTAGGTAAAGAAAATGACTGTAACTTAGCTATATAAACAGTGTCAGCGTTTATGAACATGTGTCCAAATTAGTATAGTGATGGTACACATCTGTCCAAGTTAATTATATATATATATATATCAAAGACAATCTGTACACCTCATTGTGTTCTGAATAGATGCAATGTTCGACCTAGAAACTATGGTGTCATTGACATGAGACGTATCAATAGGATGTAATAATTAACATGGAAAATGTTATTGAATGAATAGTTATTAAAGGTGTTTGAAAGTTCTGTTATGTAACTTCTGTTTGTCACAGCATGTATGTTAAACATTGTGACAAACACAGAAGGAAAACGGTAGTGACAACGAGCGTGTCGGAGTATATTGAAAGATTTTATGATTAAATTTCGTAACCTAGATAGACTCATTAGCATCTGTATATCGTTACTTTAGTGAATAGAAGAAAAGATAAGGCTACTCTTTTGTTATATAACAATTAATTGACACTAATGTGTGAAAAGTATTTGACTTACACTGTTGAACTGTTCGAAGTTGCTTTTGAATTTTCGAGTCGGATATGCCCATTCTGATCAACGGGAATAATTAGATTTGAATAGAAAAAAAAGGCAGTTCGAGGGTTTCCTAATGTGTTAATCTAAAACGAGAAGAATGTGATGATGACCATAGATGCATCTTCACACAATCAATTATAAACAAAAACCACAATCAATAATTACGTGCTTGATCCTCCGATTACAAGACTAACACTTACGTATGCATTTCACTGAACGTACCGTGTAATAATAAAAGGAAGCTTTAATCGATTGATTTCATGTATGATAGACGTACGGTGAAAGTGAGATAAAATAAAGAAGACAAACTAGTGACGATGACATCTGAGAAATGCACGCAAGGATTTTTCTTCCTATGTTGTGCACACTCTTGCATGCTTCATCAGATGTCGAAGGTTGAAGAAGAGAGAATTGAGAGAGAGAGAGCAAGTAGAGAATAGAGTCATTAAGATGGAGATTTGTAAACTGATGGAAACAAAAAAATACCAACGTTCAAACATTTGTGTATCATCGATCATATCGAATGAGTAAGAAGCAGTATGTCTATTCGAATCTGAATTGTGTCTGTCTCGCAGTAGGAACAGTCTGGGCCTATCCAAACATACATATATACCGTTCACGCTTTCTTCGAGTTTGCACATATCGGAAAAGACTGAGTTTAATAGAATGATTTGATTTTACTTCTTCCTCTAACATCTTAGTAAAGGAATATGCTGACCACATGTACGGTTATTTAACCATGTACATACAGTTCTGATTATGTCTGGAAAAAAAATGAACGACAAAGACAAATATCATGTTGTGTCACAAACTCAATTATTTCTGATTAGTTCTTCTGTAATCTGATGATAAGAAGAATGAATGTTTTATTTGATTGCTCCTTTTTCTATTCGAGTATTTTACCTGAGAAAAAGATTCAATTAAAAAAAAGTTCATATGTATATCAACATTCATAATTTGATTTATCTATTACACAAACCATAAAAATGAGCTCGAATAAAGTTAATCATATTATTATGATTTCTGTCAATGTCATACGTACGCAAGTGTATATGCAGATGTAAATAGAAGATACGGATTCGTTGAAATAGAGAACAAGGATGAAAAGTCTCAATCTGATTTATGAGTTAAACTATAGAAAATTAAGGACAACTCATTCATTTGTATCGCACACGCATACAACTAATTGTACGACTATTATTCGCAAGCTTATATAATAGAGGGAATGATTTGGATGACATTAATCTTTCTCTCTCACTCTGTCTCTCTCTATCCCCGTGTCTGTCAAAATGTTCACTCACGCCTTTCAGATGTGAATAAATACAAGTGATGCAGCTATATTATGTATTGTCAATCATTAGGCGGATGAGATGTTGTTTTTCCTTCTGCTCATTTGTATTGCTTCTGTAATCTCTCTGTAGATTGTTTATCGATGATTCCGATTCCCTAATGTGAATGATTAGAGAACAAAACTTGCAAGAACAATCTAATCGTATTGAAATCGTTCTCAATAGAGTAACTGATCCGGAAATGCCTTCTATTTTTGTATCCTAATACCAACTAATTTTTATGCATAATACCGTCTCTGGATAGATGATGATTATAACATCAATATTGTCCGATCTCCCATGTTAAAATAGCAAACATCGAGCCGATTGAATGCCGGTTCAGTATCATATTCTTCCTGTTATCAATTCAAAGAATGCATGATAAAAATTGTATATCGAATGTGAATCTTCTCGAATATAATCTCATCGAATGATTATTTCCTGTCTATTAGAGTTACTTCATGTGACAGATGAATACTCGTGTGATGATAAGTGCATATAACTATCGAGTCTACTGAACGCCGTAGAAGTAAGCCTGTCCTTGCATCTATTATCGCACAATAAAATTCAGGCGCATTCACTTGTATAATATCCATCATTGTTGCCAGTAAAATCGTATTCAAAAATTAACATATTCAAGCCCGTTGTATGGTTAATTTAGATATTATTAGCATGCAATATGATCCTTCTCTAGTCAAGGCCAACACATCATGATTTTATGGTTAATAAATGCTTATTGACAGTAACATTTACTGTTAGCAAAAGGTTTATTTCAAGGCACACAACTGAAAATGAAAGAATTGTTATAGTTTGTAATAAATTCTATTATAAATCTTTCATAATTGTCAGAAGTAGAAGCGTTATTCGCCGTATGCAAAAACGTGCTGAAGCCTACATTATTTATTTAAGTTTATACTTAGAAGGTACCTTTATTGACGTCTGTTCATCTTTTACATATTTGAATTCAAACGAAACAGATCAGAATGAAGCGAAACGCCCTCTATTTCGCTGCGAGGGCCATAAATATGTTCTGCGTACAATGGCGATCATCATTTTTCGAAATCGTCATTTGATTGAAAGATACGTTACTATTCTAGACTATCTAACGCTCAACATGTTTCTGATGTACTATCTTAACGAAAAAGGTGAACGAGTATACACGTTTAAGGTAGATTAGTGTTTTTTTTGGATCTGTTCAATGTAATTTTATTTCGTATGTTTTGTAGAAAGTTGATCCGGTAGGCAATCCAACTCAATCAGCTCATCCGGGTAAAAGTTCATGTTGTTGAACATTAGCAATGACACTAAAGTTTTAAATGACCGTTTTTTAGCTAAATTTTCACCGGACGATCAATATTCACGCCAACGACTCAAAATAAAAGCACGTCATCGATTGCTGTTAACCCAACAACCATTGGCTAAATGCTAAGAACGGGACAGCCACATATTGTTGAAAGGACAACATCATTGTTTTTTGTTATCTCTGTTTTGAAATAAATCCAACGATTAGATTAAACTAGTTTGAAATGAACACCTTCCTATGCTTTCGACATTTTTATCAACGAAGACATTATAATTCGTCGGATAATGCATGTGTATTTACGAAACTTTTGATCGGTTTCATAAGATTCAGCTATAGAACGAAAATCGATCTACTGAAGAATTATACAATTAATTTTCTACATGAGTTCAGAAGTGGGAGATTATTAGATGGATTCTATCGATGGAACAAGTAGTGAAATAGTTTGAGTAGTGAACGAGTTATTGGTTTTTCACGAACAACCAATAACCAGTTCTGCCGGAGCGGCGCTGGCGCCACGTCCCGTCCGAGATCGAAGCGAGTAATTGGTAGGTGCGTTCGAAACGAGAGAACGTATAAAAAATTGTTCTAAAGACGTATATTTTATCTTATTTTTCTGATAAACTCCTTTTTTATCTTTTTTCATTTACTTCACTTTTAGATTGTTTGTTAGCGATGGTTCCGCCTCTGCCCGGCGAACAAGACTGGAAATTTGATTCATTCAATGACGGAGGCTCTAGAGGTACGGAGACACATTTTCTCAGTTGGATCACGATCAAAATTTCTTTTTCATATTCTAGAATTGGTACTAAATGCACAATTAAAACGCTATACGCGCTTTCTTGCCAACCATAAGCAAGCCTTGAGACGCATCGAAGATTCGCTCAGCTCGAATATCACCCAAACATGGGACTTCGATTTGAATCCAGTAGAACTCAAGGTACCGTACATTTGCTTTCTCCTGTGAAAGAAAAAGACACCAATCTTTGAATTTAGTATCTACCCTACGAACAAGTTCAGGTCCTTGAACTAATTCGAACAGAAAATAAGATTTGTAATAAAATCGTCATTGTCTTTGCTGCACTCTGCTGCGAATGTAAATTTCTTGTTCATGAATGTGAGCGAAAATATCTTCCAGCAATAATATTCTTCGGCGAAGGAGGTTAAGTGACTTCATGTGTGTCTTACTCATCTTTTCATTGTTTTCTAGAACCAGATGCTAAAGAACAACAACAAAGCTATATGGCGCAGTTTGTTTCTCTTCTTCAGGTTTGAATTCATTTTTTGTAACGAAGTGAATTTCATCGAGTCTGTGTTAAATCTAAAGGAGTTATCCTGCTATGTAAATCGATGTAATGAAGTGGTTATGAATATTCTTCAACAATTATCCGCACTTTATACACTACAAGTTGTTCAAAGCGGACGGTAGGAATTCGCGTATTTAGGTGCAAACACTGCTTCACTGTTGAATGATCTTAGACCTATGGGATTGATGGATGCATCTGATCTACATCTACCTGTAAGGGCTGAAATATTTTTAAAAAGATTGGACTATTTATTTTCGAAAATTCTTCAGATTGTGTTTGATCATCTGGGTGACTTACTACGTTGTCTGATAACACTGGATGAATGCATTCGTGCCAACGCACAAATTGCTGAGAAATGGCCTGCATTTAAACGGTGAGGATCGATTCGTTCAGTGCTATGTTCGATAATGTGCATTTTTAAATCTAGTATCATAACATCAGTGAAAAACAATGTTGATAAAGTTCACATCGACCTCTCACGGTTACCGTCGTTTGAAAAGATACTCATTGCACTTGAAGGCCAGCTTTTAGACGGTCGAATTTTTCAAGTAAGACTCTAAATGGATTAACTGTTAAGAATATCTTTCCGTAGAATTGTATCGAACAAATATTTGACAATACCATTGTGACCGTATCAAAAAATCCTTTGTTACAAGAAGAATTCTCGCTTATAATTCGTCAACTTCTATCAAATATTGAACCGAAACTTGGTACGTGCGTCGTGTCTCACTTGAAATCATTTCATTGATGAATATTTTCAGGTGAATACAATGAACTTGATGGACGAATGAAGTACGTTGGCATTTGCGCGCTCTTCTGTTTGCATTATCAACTCTATCGCGTGGATGACAAACGACAGTTGAAAGCTATTTGGGATGTTTACAAAAAAGTAGAGTAAAGCTTCAGTTTAAACCAATGTTTCTCTTCTGTGTTTGTAGATACCCGTTGTTCATCTATGCGGTAATATTAGTTGGGTGCCTAGTCGATTTTTACTAGAGAAATTTCCTCAATTTGCTCGATCATTGGATAAAAAAGCTGTTCAAGCTGTTGAGCAACAACGTATCACATATTTACAAAACAAAGAATCTTTGTTGACCAAGTAATTTCTTTTGCAACATAGAAAAAAGCATCTGTCTTTTTTATTATTTTCATTCATGTTTCAGTCTTAAGTAAGGGATACTAATAAGCATGTTTTTTTTGTAACACGGGGCTTCTTCTTTTACCCTCTTGCATGTTTTGTTGTTTCGTTAAAGAAAAACAAAAACGCTTGACTAATCAATGTGTCTATTTAGAGATTTGCAACGCAGTTATCTCGATGTTCTAACTTGGCTTATTCGTATGGAGTCGAGTGTAACAACGAATGACGCAAATGAAGCGGCATTGATCAACGATGTTCTGAAGAAAACTTCATTGTTAAATCATGTCGGTTATTCAAAACGAGATTTGCTTCTATATTGAAGATTCGATTGAGTTTAGGGTTTGTTTCATGCTTATAGTCTATCGCATACAATTAAAACACTACTCGCTCTCCATGCGACACTTCGACTACCGATGAAATCCGAATGTATGCTCGTGATTTATCGTTATACGGAACTGTTAAAAGTTATTGAATCAACTTATCATCGCCATGCCATGGCTATTGGACCATATTTCAATTCGATCATGCAGTTTCATTCGCAACGTTTACTAAAAATCATTGCCATTGCAAAAGTAGAGAAGATTCAGTTCGTTCATATGATCGTTTGATTTTTTTGTATAGAAACGAATAACAACCGTAACGGATAAACGATTTACGGATAAACAAGTCGATGTACTTGCTGCACTTGTGCTCGCAGAATCGTGTTTGAATGGGCCTTGTAAGTAGTTAACCGTTGATCTCGATGATTCCAATGAGATCGTTTCAGGTACGAAAGAACGTCTGTTGGTATTTCGATTAGCATTTTCGTTCGGTTCGCGACTGGTAAGAGTTTTCCATTCGACATCGATCATTTCAATTCTTTGTCTTTTGCAGAAAACTTGTCGCGACGAAGAAATGGTTGCAATTGACGAAGCACTTCGGAAATTGGAAACTTTAGCTGCATTTTCAGAAAAGTAACATGAGAATTGCTCGTTTTATAACTTTATTTGTCGTTTAGACTTCATGAAGCTTGTGATACGACATTCATCTATTGGGAACAGAGCTCATTTCGATTATATTTACAAGATTTATTTCTAACTGTTCGAGATCCACACCGATTACACGTGAGAACCGAGCAGTTTCAATGATGAACTTCTTAAGATCTTCTACTTCACTGTTTTAGTTTATCTTTAACGCTCTGCGTGATTGTGTTCCATCACTGCGAGCAATTCGTCATGATAAACCCGAGAAATTGATTTCCAGTTATAAAAATGAAATTATGAAAATGTTCGATCAGGTTTGTAGTGAGAAAACGACTTCAACCAATAGAATGCTAACGAAATATGTTTTGTCTAGTGCTTTTTACAAGAACTATTCAAGACCATCGAAGATGATCTTCGTTGTCTATGTCATGCACATTTAGAAGTCGGCGATCGAAGTATATTTCGACAGAGCTTCAAAGATGTAACGCCTTTTCTCGATGTCAAACCAATTCGATGTTTCGATGAATTCATCAGTATCAAAGGTGAGAAAAGTGCCTCCTTGAATTGCTAGATCTGTCTTCATTCTTCTTTTTCAGGAGCGGTGGAAAGTTATTTGGACAAGATTTTTTATGATTATACGACTGCATCCTCAACGGACTGGAACACCTATTCTGAAATGAGAAATTTAGCATCGCAAAAGTACGGCTTGGATTTGCATGAACCCCATCTGCCAAGTAAAACACTTGAACAAGTAAACCAGCCTGTCTAAAGTTTGAAAAAAAGATAGATCTTCTAAATTTTCTTTAGGGTTGTGATGTTCTTGACATTCTTCGTAATCTAAATGCGTTTGTCGCCCAACACTATTATAACATAAACACCCAGATGTTCATCGAACGATCGAGTAATAATAAATTCCTACGCACAACGAATATTCGTCATGTTGCTAATTCGATCCGTACGCATGGTATTGGTATTATGAATACAGCGGTACAGTTCTCTTCTCGTTGGAAAACTTTTCGTTTTAATCGTCTTCCTTCAGGTTAACTTCACTTATCAATATCTGCGACAGAAATTCTACATGTTCTCTCAATTCTTATTCGACGAACATATTAAAAGTCGCCTGATGAAAGATATCAAATTTTTCAAAGAAAATAAAGACCGATTGAACCAGCGAGTACGATATTGATCGAAAGTTCTCTAATAAATGACGCGACATGTTTCACTTTTAGTATCCTTTCGAACGAGCCAAGAAATTTTTCATTAGCATCAGAAAATTAGGTGTGACACCGGACACAAATGAAACTTATCTCGATCAATTTCGAGAACTGATCGGTCAAATCGGTAAGAAGAATCTTGTTTTGAACAATCAACTCGTTGATGATCATTGTGCAAAAAAGGTAATGCAATGGGTTACGTTCGAATGATTCGTTCGGGTGGTTTGAATACGTGCTCCAGTTCGATTCGATTCGTTCCTGATTTTGAGAATCTGATTTCATTTGAAGAGAATACGCGAAAAGCCAACTTACCGTATGAAACGATTAGCGCGTCAAAGTAAGTGTTGTAGTCAAGAAGATAAAAGAAAAAAAAAACATGTGAGGAACGTTGCGTTTTGTTTTAATTTTAGACATCTGGATGATGTGATTTCAAATTTGGTAAAAAATTTCACCGAAGGAACAGAGTATTTCAAGATTCTGGTCGATGTGTTTTCGAACGAATTTCGTGGCAAGAAAAATTTGCATTTGAAAAACTTCTACGTCATTGTACCAGCACTCGTACGATTTTCAAATGAATACTCTCTGTTGAAAACAAGTCTTTGCTTGTTTAGACTTTGAGCTTTGTCGAACATATTAAAGTGTTGAAAGATAATTTGACGAAGAAGTCGAAGGTAAATGCGTCGTTCACCGATGATGGATTTGTTATGGGTAAGAAAGACAAGTTTTCTTTTTATTTGACTGATATTGTTGTTTAGGTGTTGCTTATATTCTGAAATTGTTGGATCAATACCGAGATTTTGATTCGTTGCATTGGTTCGAAGCAGTTAGAGAGTCATCGAATGCGGAAAGAGTGAGAAGAGAGAGGGAGTTCGGTTAACAAAAGTGGGCGAATGTGTGTGTTTAGACTGATGTGATCAATAAGTCAAGAAATAGTACTGAAGAAAACGTGAAAAAAGCGTTGAATGCGTCCATGAAAAGAATCGAAAATGATCAATTGGTTGGTATTCACGATAACGAGCTTCACGGATCTCGAACTTGTTCAATGTCTATTTTTAGGAGTTTGACTTACTCAATTATAGTTTACGTTCAGCCCGAATATTCTTCCGTGCTGACAAAACAGCCGAAGAAGATAAACGTATGTTATCAGCACATAAGCATTAGCTCTTTTTTCCGCTGCTCATATACTTTTATTTCTATCTTATTATTGATTGAATAAGGTAAGAAATGTGATGCAGAGAACATATTTTCTCATCGATGTTTGTTTTTGATTATTGTAGAATCATCAATGGTTGACATTGAAGCGCGCATACAAACTGAAGCAGCCCCTGTTGCGACTGAAGCATCTCCTGTTACTGATAATGTGCCTCCGCCGCCACCGCCGCCGCCTCCTCCACCAGCGTCTGCGGGCGTTCCACCACCACCGCCTCCTCCTCCTCCTCCATTTTTCATGACGAATTGATCATTCCGAACAAAACTTATTCTCTTTTTTTTGTAAAACATAATTCACCGGTGATTTCTTTGTCTTTACCAAAATCGATTCCTATTGATGATTTGTCTATATGTAATCTTTTTTTTATATAATATATCCAATTTGTTGATCTATCTTTGTAGAAAAATCTCTGATTTGATTCAGATCTGACCTGGATGAATCCTTTGCTTCAGACAGCAATTACTGTGAGTTATTGCCTATCAAATATCCTTCCTAATTTGAGTGTCTTTCAGTTTGTATCACTTCTTGTTTCAATCGTAACTACTGATGTTTGTACGGGTAACATTTGTACATGTTCGAAAGATTTCACACTCGTTAACTGCGATTCGAAACCCTGGCTTAGCCTAAGTAACGTGGAATTTCCTTCACAAGTTGTTACATTAACCTTAATCAATGATAAACTCAATCTTGATTCCAGTACCTATTGATGTTGCACTATCTTTTCTACTTCTAAGTTTTGATTCATTCTAGGCACTGATCGTTCGAAGATTGAAAATCTTCCTCGTTTACTTGAACTGAGCCTTAATCAAAATCCATTGGGAAACATTCCACCATTTAATAGCTCGCGTATTCAATCACTTTCGTTAGATGACACCTCTTTGACATCAGCACGTTTTCCTCCATCGTATTCGAATTCTATTCTACAGAAACTGAATCTCAACGACAACAAAATTCGTTCGATCCAATCAGACGACTTTCAAGCTTTGGGAAATGCGAAACTTAAAAGTTTACGTATCGATAATGCTGCGTTAACTACAATCGATCAAAATGCATTTGCGCCATTAATTCAACTTCAATCTTTGTCACTGCGGAATAATCAGTTAAAATCTTGCGAGTTTCTATCAACTCTTCGTGTTCTCTCTTCAATCAAACTGGACGGAAATCTTTTCACTTCACTTCCACCTCAATTAATTACACAATCTTCCATAAAATCTTTCTCGTTTACGAATAATCGTATATCAATTATTGATGAATCATCACCACTGTTTACCTGGCAGAAAAAGAATCTGACCAATATTCACGTATTTCTAGCAAACAATTCGTTTGATTGTTGCCAGTCCTTATGGTTCATTCGATTTTTAAAAACATCCGCACATTTGGTTCAGGATGCACAAATATTAACCTGTGCTACTCCATCAGTTTATGCCGGACAGAATTTAAGCGCACTCAATCCTGATGCGATGAATTGCGGAGGTAGTCAACCAAAGAAATGGTCGTGGACCGTCGAACGTATTGTTGCCGTTTCTCTTGGAGGATCATTCATAGTTTTAGTCGTTGCTGGTACTATCGTGCTTTTCGTTCGTGGACGCCGAACTCGCACAGGCTATACAGAAATCGGAGGAGTGAATGACCCTTTACCAAATGCGCCTGAGATGCCAACTGAACAATCTTCTTTTCCACCTTATGGAGAAGATAATGATGATGGTGTGTCAACATATTCCACGGCACCGTCAGCGCTCACAGATGCTTCACAAGCACGATCATTGAGCACCGCTGTTGGTGTATCCGTCCGTGATGAAAAAATCGTATAAAAAAAAACATTCGTCTGGTAGTTTCTTAGTCAATCTCACCGGTGTTTTTAGTATACTAACACGTTTTCTAATTTAATCTCGAAAAGAAATTCTCTATTCAAATCATAAAATCATTCGTTTCTATAAATAAAAATAGCAGTTCAACTCTGATTGCACTATTCATGCGTATTTATTTCTAGTTGATAAAGTGAGTCTAAGTAGACGTGTAATTGTTGAATGCGAACTTTGCTTGCATAGAAAATCAAACGTCGTCATCAGGTGGGATGACGGCAACCGACGGAGTTTGTACATTTTTCTTCGTCTTAACCGTCAAATTATCCCGTTGTTCTTCGTCCTGGAACGAAATTGGATTTTCCAATGGATCATCATCCGAACCAAGAGAAAATCTTGTTCCATATTCGACGGATTTCGGTGCAGCTAAGACATTCGTGTTGCTTGCATTCAAACTCTCGCTAAGTTTTGTTTCGGATACAGCATGCCAAGATGGCCTTCGCCGGTCAGATGCATCACTGATCGAACGGTGTCGCGATGGTAAGAATTGATCCGAGCCGAAACGCGAGGAGAGCTTCTTTTCGAATTGTTTTTGTTCGAATGCTAAAAACTGAAGATTACTGGCCGACTTTCGTCGTTCTGATTCAACAGCGCGCTGGTGAGCAACTGCTAAACGATCTCGAGCAACGATATGTTTCGTACGAGTGTCTAAAAGACCATTATGACACGAGACTGTCCGATGTGGTGGATGAAAGAACTATGAAATGACAAAAACGAACAGGCGAAAGCAAATGACAGAGCACTTCTTCATCTTACTTTAGCTGTTAAATCACGTTTAGATTTAGACATTGAATCTATTCGCTGACAATGACTGACAGTTTAGACATAAAATCATAATGATTTCTTTATTTGTCGATCGAACGCAAAATAGAAAAGACAAACGAGAAAAATTTATATTCTTCTTTCTCGGCAACAATCAACGTCTGAACACAAAAAAAGAAATCTGTTCTTCTGACTGAACTTCAAAATGCTTTCAAGTTCATCAAGTTTGCAAGAACTTATATACTTCAAAAACAATCCCTAACAAGGCATGTTTGTCTTTGATTAGTTGAAATCACTCATGCGTAAGAGAAATCATCTCGTTTCTCTTTATCGTTTCTTTTTACTTGGTGTACAAACATGACAAATGGTTGAGAAGATTATGATCAATGTACGAATGCGCTTCGATGAATGTACCAGATGAGATTTTTTTGTTCAGGGGGGGTATGTACGAAATGAATCAGTGAATTATCTCGTGACATGATTGATTTTGATTGTCTTACTTTCGTTACTTCCGCATTGAAGAGTCAATCAAATCAATCGCATGTCCTTCGTTGGTGTTATTTTCAGACATAACAGTTTTTTGTGTCATATAAATAAACTTTTCAACTTTCCTTTTTCGCTGCGTCATGAGTTCGACAGCAAAAAAACCGAGGTCGATTTTGTACTCATTTCAAAGAGTTCGCCGATCGAGCACAAAACAAACAGAAAGCGCGCGCGAGAGAAATAAAACTCGAGCGAATTGTGGTTGTTTTTTCATGCCATTGCTGTTATTGTGTTTGTTCTCTAGTCTAAAGTGCAAGTCGACGAGGAGGATGGGAAGAACGCACCATGTCTTGCGAGTGGAAGAAGAAAAGCAGAGAAGGAAAAATATATATTTAGCGACAATCAGGAGTAATATTTTCTTGCTGTGGTATTGAGGACAACGAATGAGGGAAAGGTGTGTCATTCTGATTTTTGTTTTTATTCGGTATTGTTTAAGAAAATCTTTTTTTCAATGTCATTTTTACCTTTTCAGCATCACATTGTTCTGAAATGGCGTTGGATTTTGGTTTTGGCTTTGTCGCTGGAGTTACCGGCACGATTGCCGGATACCCATTCGACACAGTAAAAGTTCGTCTGCAAACGCAAACATTAAATCATCGTCTATATTCAGGCTCCTTGGATTGCTTCATTAAAATTGCGAAACAAGAATCAATCTTGGGTTTTTATAAAGGCATGTCGTCACCAATGTTCGGCGTTGCTCTCATCAATGGAATTGTTTTTTCTATACAAAATATTGTGAAAGGATTATTTGATAATCCCGATACTTACGTCACACTATCTATTACTGGTGCTATCGCTGGTGCTTCACAATCGATCATTTGTTCGCCTATAGAATTAGTCAAAACTCGTCTTCAAATGCAGGGCATTGGACAACAACGAAAGCTGTTTGCACTGTCAACACATTTATATAAAGGACCGCTGGATTGCTTAAAGAAATCCTACGAACGACGGGGTCTTCGACATGGTGTTATGCGTGGTTTATCGATGACATTTGCGCGTGATATTCCATCGTTTGCAGCATATTTTCCAGCATGGCAATTTTTCGTGACGAACTTTTCACCAACGGGGCGAGAAGTGGACATGCCTATGTACATGAGTTTAATTGGCGGTGGATTCACTGGCATAGCAGCGTGGACTGTTTCGTATCCGTTCGATGTGATCAAGAGTCGTTATCAAGCAGCTCGAGAACATGTTTATAAAAGCGTTTGGGATTGTACTGTGAAGTCTTTTCGAACAGAAGGCTGGCGAGTATTTACACGCGGGTTCGTACCGTGCACACTACGTGCTGTACCGACAAATGCATTTACTTATCCTGTCTATGCACTTCTGAAACGTACATTTGACACACCGATCGACGATGATGAGACTATATTAGAAAATACTAATCAGACAAAAGTAATGACTATAACAACGGTTTCACCTCCATCGATCAGGTCATGTGATTAGAAAGCTTTTTGTTTTTTTTCTTTTGAACGGAAAAGAAAGGAGAAAGAAGTATGTGTGCATGTCAGATGCAGAGTTAGGCCTTTTTCCTCATTCTATTTAATGATTTATGACAATTAATTTTTTTTAATCTTCGTTTTGTTGTTATTTTTTGTATATAAGACGTAGATCATATTAGATTATTAAAGTAATAATGGAACTAGCTCGATTTTATACATAAATAAACTATTCTGTACTGAATTGCGATATTCTCAGATGTTGCCAATCATCAACTTGAGGGCGTGCAATGAAAATTCTTCCAATAGCACATCACTTCCAGGTCATTCTATTCTTAAACGAAAATGATCTATCTATTCATATGGTCTTCGACAGAACGACTGATAAAAAACTATCGATCGAATTTCGCGTTCGTCGATCGTCCGTTTCACTTGTGTCAAATATAAAGTACGACAGAGACATACATAGACATATATATATATATAGATGCAACGAGAAAACGTGTATTTACATTCACCATCGGATCTAGTCGGCGAATACGATCATAGAATGGATAGAATGATGCGTCAACCGCCACCTGTACCTCCGCCTCCTCCTTTGTCTACTTCAGGGTCATCATCAAGACCACATCTTTCACGAAATTCAACACGTCTACTGAATGAATCAATCAAACACAAGTATGTTCGAACGAAATCCCTTGGAATCAATGTGTACTGAATGACTTTTTCTCAGAAAGAATCAATCTAATGGAAACAGTACCAATAGCAGTAATGCCTTTTGGTGGGATGTTGCTCATGTCACCAGTCGTCACTATGAACAAGAACAAAGTACAAATAAAGAACGTCGACTAACATTTCGTCGAATTGTTAAAATATGCGTTTACATCATTTTCTTCTGTGTTGTTCTCACATCCGCAATTGTCAGTAAGCTTAGTCTATTCACTATGATTAATGCTTACAAAACTACCGAACAAGTAGATATCTCATTCTTTCACTACCTGATCGATCATTGATTTCTTTCTTTCTCTCGTTTGTTCTAGCCAAAAGCATACATTGTTCGATGGCAAGTTCTTCTTCTCATTGCAATGGGCATCCCATACGTCTTAACATTTATCCACAGTGTTCAGTTATCGATTTTTTTCATTAAACGTTCTCCGCCATTCTTTCTGACAATATGGGTAAGTATAGGACAACAACAAACAAATTAATCGATGTGAATCTGTTGGTATCGTTTCAGGTTCACTTCGTCGAAGCTTGCCATACCGCTGGTTTGTCCATTCTTGTCTTTCGAATTTTACCATCAATTGATAATGTGACTGGATTGTTCATCTTGAACGGTGTGTGTATTATTCCGGCCGTCTTAAATCTTTTCTCATCTCATCGTGGTCTCAATGCAACGATGAAAACATTGACATTCATCACTGACATCGGCGCAGTCTTGATGCAGTTATGTGTTTGCTTTATACCTGTCATACTTCCGATGAAAGAGAGTATAACAAGTAGACTTCAATGGCAATTACCATTAGCATTATTGCTTATTTCGTTTGGCTATTGGGAGAGTTTTACTGAAACATCCTTCTCACAAAAACGTTTCTTCAAATGGTTTCAACATGGAGTTCGAGCATTGAAGAAAACACGTCCTAAAGTCTATGTTACCGCCAGTTTGTTAAAGTTGTGTGTCTTGATTTGCACAGCTGTGTATTTCTTACCGGAATCCATTGATAAAAAACTGTATTGGAGAGTTTTTGATTCAATACCGATCGGCTTCCATGATACACAAACTCGACGAGTTCTCGGTGGTGGAATATTCGACGAACATGAAGATCTTTTTCGCATTACATATGAAGTGTATGTTCCGATGATTGTACAAGTTCTTTCCTCCTGTGTCTGCTATTACACTGGACGTATCGCATGTAAAGTAAGATGAAGACAAAGCATAGCTGTCTCAAAATGAATGTATCTCGTTTGATTTAGGTTTTAATGCAAAGCTTTGGCTTCTCATTGCCGTTAACTTTATCGACATTGATTGCGTATATTGTACTATTCTTTAGTCAAGGTTTTAAAAGCAAGAAAGACATTGTAGCGCTTGGCCAGTTGTTCTATTTGGACAAACCGCAAGGTAATCTTTGGAATGCATCCTTTTCCAGTAAAAAGATCCTGTTTTGTCTGTAGCGTTGGGCTCGAAACTTGTTATTATTTCGCTGATTGGTTTCCTACTGTTATGGTTATCTAAAATGAAAATAACAAGTCATGTCTGGTTTCCAACATCGGAACGTTTAGCAATGATATATAAGTTCGTACAGCACTGAATGACTGCCACTAGAAGATTCTTCTTGAATATGTAGATTATTTGTTCTTCCATATTATGAACCAGCGATTGTGGAACAAAATTTACTGCTGAACAAACGACAAAAAGATGATGGAGAAATGAAAGGTTGGATAAATCGATAGAAATCGTTCAATTCATTTCAACGCTCTATCTGCAATTACATAGATCAAGTGGAACCGGATTTAAGTCTCGAACGAAAGTTTCCCGTACCAATGATCTACGTCTGTGCGACTATGTGGCACGAGACCACAAGTGAGATGGTGCAATTGTTAAAATCAATTTTTCGGTCAGTAGACCATCGACTGATTTCATTGTATAGTGAATCGTTTTTACATAGTCTGGATTCGGATCAGCATGCGCGTCGAACCGTTCAAAAGAACCTACGTATTCTCGATCCGGATTATTATCGCTTTGAAACGCATGTTCTATTCGACGATGCGTTTGAAGACGATGAAAACGGCAACCGCATACCCAATCGTTATGTCAAACAATTAGTTGCAGCTGTGAACGTCGCCGGAGCGTATGTTCATGGTGTCGAAAAGGTCGTCGAAGATCCCATTAAGATCCCGACGCCCTATGGTGGACGGTTAGTTTGGTTATTGCCAGGCAAAAACCGATTGATCGTTCATATGAAAGATAAAAATTTAATTCGACACAAAAAACGTTGGAGTCAAGTGAGTATCCATCGAAAGAAGAAAAACGAAATGAGTTCAAAATTGATATGTTCCAGGTCATGTATATGTACTATCTGTTATCGTTTAAATTATTACGTCGAAAACAAGGTGGACACAATGTTTCGCAGCGTACTACTCGATTGGATACGGAATTCATCGGTTTCAGTGATTTTCTTCGAAATCTACCAGAAGATAAAAAAATTGCCGTATGAAAAAATCGTCATTCTTCTGAAAAACACAAGAACATTCTTTTCTTTCCTTTTCATTTCATTTCAGGCTCAAAATACATTTGTTCTCGCACTTGACGGTGATGTTGATTTTAAGCCAGAAGCTATTCTTTTACTAGTCGATCGAATGCGTAAGAATCCGAAAGTTGCAGCTGCCTGTGGTCGAATTCATCCAACTGGTGGCGGTACGAGCACGGTGATTTACTTTCACTTTTGAAAACGATTTCACTTTCAGGACCTATCGTATGGTACCAGCAATTTGAATACGCTGTTGGCCATTGGCTACAAAAGGCTGCTGAACATAAACTGGGCAGTGTTCTTTGCTGTCCCGGTTGTTTCTCATTGTTTCGCGGTTCATCTCTCATGGATGACAATGTTATGCGACGTTACGCTGATAAATCTACGGAAGCAGCACATTACGTCCAATACGATCAGGGTGAGAACGGATATTGTCTTACTCTTGGAGTACATCGTGATTGACATCTTAGGTGAGGATCGTTGGTTAACAACGCTTCTTCTTCAGCAAGGTTATCGTGTTGAATATTGCGCTGCATCGGACGCTTTCACTCATGCACCTGAAACATTTAAAGAATTTTTCAATCAACGCCGTCGATGGATGCCTTCGACAATGGCGAACATCATGGATTTATTGAAAGATACTAAACATACAACGCATGTCAATGAAAATATTTCGAAATTGTACATGTTCTATCAAGCTGTTCTGTTCGTTTCGACTATCCTAGGTCCAGGAACAATTCTATTAACAATTGCTTCCGCGTTACGTACAGTATTTTCAACATTAACAATAGCTGAATCGTATACAATATCAATTTTACCAGCCATTTTCTACATACTCGTATGTATAAAAACGAAAGCTAGCACACAAATATGGATCGGAGCGGTAATGACTGGTAAATTGCAAATGCATTGTTAGCTTTATGTTGTACAAAGTATATTTGATTTTAGCAATCTATGCTTTGGTTATGTCTATGGTACTTGTCGCGACAGCTGCTCAAATTCTCAAATCAGGTTTGCTTGATCCGAGTGCAGTATTTTTACCAACAGTTGCTACAACTTTCATTGTCACTGGTCTCCTGCATCCGAATGAAATGTTGAATCTACTGCATGGCTTTCTCTATTTGGTCACCATCCCCGGTGGTTATCTTTTGCTTGTAACCTATGCTCTATGCAATTTACATGTTGTTTCCTGGGGTACACGGGAAACAGTCGAAGTGGTCAAAAAGAAAAAGAAGCCAGGCGAAAAAGAAGTTGTTGTGCCAGGTAGAGAAGAACATGTAAAGACACTCACGGTTACTGACTATTTTTCTTTTTCGAAAACAGATCCGAAGAAACGACGGACAACGGATGTTTTGAATAATATGCTATGGGGCAACAACGGTGATGGCCAACGCGGCTTTATTCATCAGATCGGTGATGCGATTGAACAAGTTTTTCGACCAACTGCTAAACGTCAAGAGATGCTTTTACAACAGATTATCGAGAAACTCAATCGTGACAACGCTCGTCAGGATTTAAAAAAATACAATGGTACGCTACGTTACATTCAATTCAATCACCAATCATACTTCAATCGATCTTTTTAGATGAAAATCTACATGATGCTAATAGTCATGATCTACTCATTGTGCCAGGTGAAAGTGAGTTACATGATAGTAGTTCATCCAATACAACATCGACTACATCGATTTGTAATAAATCACGAAATAATATGGTCAATCCTTACTGGTCGGAATTGTCATGGCTTGGCTCAGAATCTGTTATCGGCTATCTTCATACAGATGAAATCACATTTTGGCAACAAATTCTTTCGAAATATTTAGCTCCGCTAGACAAAGATGCAGAAGATGAACGCCGTATTACACACGATCTGATTTCTTTGCGAAATAATGCTGGCTTTGCTTTCTTTATGCTTAACGCTATTTGGATTATTTTGCAATTTCAATGTGAATATGTTTCGACGAAATTCACTGAACTTATGATTGACATCGGTCGTCCATTCGGTCGACCAGGAACGAAGGTACAACTGCTAGGTTTACTATTTATGCTATTTTTTGCATCATGTATGATTGTTCAATTCATTACTATGCTTCTGCATCGTTGGGGAACATTCATAGAAATCTTGGCTAGTACAAAACTATTCGAAAAGCATCGAAAATACAAATTAAAACCAGGCTCGGATATTGCTGGAATGACAAGTCAAGAGGTGGCCGACGTTCTCAGAGAGTTAGATATTCAACTAGTTGTTCCACCAGTGGCCACTGCAGTGAAACAGAGTGTCGCATTTCAAATGGAACCTATGGTAAAACGAGAGGCCGAAGCTCATAGTCCTGATTACGACGAAAATGACGATGATGAAATCGATGATTTCGAGGATGTGTATATTGAGCCGCCAATCGATTACTTCGATCATCCGGTTGTACAAGAAGCTGCTGATGAAAGCCGTCTTCGTATGCTCTAGTCGAGCAAAGCAACTGATCATTCTCTTTTACTAGGCGAATAATTTTTCATAACTTTTGTTTACATTTTCTTATTTTTACGTTTACCGTTTTAAACAGCAATAAAAAGATAGACATATGGTTGTTTCCGCTTGATACAGAAGGCTAACGAAATCGATTTGTTTAAGTTAACCTTGCACAGGCGCAAAGAATTTAGCGAATATACTGAAGGATGTCAATGTATAGAAACAAATGTGTATTTACGTCTTTATTAGACAATAAATCGCATGAAATGGTTTTGATTCAATCAGAATAACCTCGAAAATGAAGGTAGACGTACTTCTACAGATGTGATTCATTATCTGATGAATTATTATCATAATAACATTGATCCTCGTCTGTTTTGACGAAAGTTGCCGTTGAATCTCTACGTCCGACAGTATACCTCTTCCAGAGTATCTGTCGATAAATTCGTTTGAACATTCATATTCGAAGATTCACATATACCTATCCCGACAATCTTCACTTCGATGTGTATGGCGAAGATGTGAATGATTCATTTCGATTCTCATCAATCATCTTGCAAATATATATATACGTCATGAAATAATAGTATCGTTTATCTTTGTCTTCTGAATGCTTTCAATGATTCGAAAAGTTCAACGTTATGTACACATATATCGAATAATCGAACTGTTATCATTTATATTTTGCGAAAAATTTTAGACAACGCGGTGATCTATTCTACCATGACAATTACACAACACACCCTTGAATAATGGCTCCAACGAATTGCTCATTGTGTATGATTTGATTGCACTCCTTTTGCGATTTTGATTTCACAGTTACAGATATTTTCTTTTCGATCATCACTAAACGCATAGTAATTATGACTCCTATNTCTCTCTCCATTAGCTCTCCGCTCTTTTATATTCACCATATTAAAATCGATACGCTTGAGATGAAGCACAAGATATGGGTAGTAGTCGTCGCTGCTTTTTGCTTTACACACTTCTTTCTCTCTTTTCGTCTTCTTACCATCCATTCAATCTAGCGCAAAACGAGAATGAATACATTAACGCATCCTATTCGGTTTTACTGCTCATTTGCATTGTTGTCTTTGTTTGTAAGTGGCAATGATAATCATCCATTAGTTGCATTGATTTTAATCGCCTTGTGAATGTGATCAAATGTATGTATGCGTCTGTGTGCTCGAGATGGTAAGTTCATAGCCACACACGAATGCACTCAATGATTTTTTTTGTCCGTTTTTATGCAATTTACATTGCTAGAGACCACAATTGTAAGACCGCAAAATTGTGATTTTGAACATTAACCTCGAATGTGTGATAATTGAATGATAAAGAAAAGTTCGATATGATATGAACATTGACACAAAAAAGATGGAGAACAGTTTTTTTACTAATGAACTTGTTTTTTTTTCTAGATCAGTTTTTTTAGCTTTTACTGCTTCTTTTGACTTGATTTTGCGCCTGCAATATTCACAATGATTGATCCACGTTTCGCCGCTCCAGGCGGTATCCCTATCGCGCCAGGCTATGGTGCACAGCAAGTACCTGCTCAATATCATCATCATCGTCATCATCGTCACCACAAACATAAAGTCCGCAATGATGCTTCACCAATAAGCCTTGATGAATCCATTCATAAAGTAGAGCATGGTCATCGTCATCATCATTTTCAACAAAGTAAAGCGAGCTCTCGAGAAATTGACCAGGACATTACAATCATTTTCTAGATGACGGCGTGCAATTGGCAGGAGGATATGGCGTTCCATATGCAACTAATGGATACCATCAGCAACAACAACAACAACAACAGCAGCAACAATTTGGTGCCCATCCTTACGGTTATGGGAATCAATACCAAGCTGCTGCATATGGCCAAGTCCCATATGGCGTTGGTCAATTAGGACAGACAGTGAAGCGTCGTCGACGTCACCATCGTCATCACCGTCACCATACAGCCGATGGTACTAATCCAGGATCCAATGGCGAACATGAACAAGCAGTGCCTGAGTAAGTCTACAGTGCGAACATGTCTACTCTGTCGTCAATACAAATATATGCTGCTATTGTAGACAACTGATCGGTCAACGTTCATCAAGTGTCTTAGGTGACGAAGATCAACCAGTACGTTCACCGGCACCTACAAACGACGAAAAGGCTAGCGAAGGACAAGCTGTTCATCATCGACATCGCCGACACCATCGTCGCCATCACCATCATCACAATAATAATAATAACGAGGAACAAGCTAGTTATGGATATTCACACCAATCGCGTTATGGCTATAGTAGCAATACAGTTGGCGCAGATGGTTATGGCCATATTAATGAAGACTTGATTTTTATCGAGCGTGGTGATCATAGTCCACATCGTCAAGAACCTCCTGCTGGCTATGAATATAAAGGCAAAATCGAAGTTCAAGGCATAAATAAAGAAGCTCAATCTACATCTCGTGCTGGCCTAAATGTACAACCACCACCGCAAATGCCAGTACATCAACCGATTCCACCACCAGCAAGTTTGGGCCCATGCCCACCTGGTTGGCAGCAGATGATCTTATCGCCTGCTCCTGGCGGCCCGTGCCCAGCTGGCGGATTGCCATATACTGGCCAACTCATTGGACCTTCGCCCGCAGCACCACCACCAAGTAGTGCATATGGCACCTATGGATCGAGCAATCATTATTCATCTCAATGTCAAATTGTAGCAGATTACATTTTTGGACCGAATTCAGCAGCCAGTACAAGCGGATATCAACAATCCAATGTCGCTGGCTGTACTGATCAATAGTATGTTATCAATCGATTTGCATCGATTGAAACACGAGTGATTGTTTCTATTCATTTATTTAGTCAAAATCAACAAGCATTAGAGCATACTACTACCCGTCCAACTATAATCGAAGTCTGGCAGAAACGAACGAAGGTATATCTCACACTCGATCTTTTTAACTATCAATTATTTCCCTATACTCCAGTCCGAAACACGTGAAAGATCACGTTCAAGATCGCATCATCGTTCACGTACTCCAGCTGAAGGTCCTGGATTTGATTTTGATCGATTTCGTGACGAAATTCTTGCCGCTATCGAGTAATGTGTTTTTTTTTCTCATCTGATAACGAACTTATCAACTAAATCTCAATTGCATTTTCTTTCTTCTAACCAACAATTTATAGACGAATTGTACCACGTGGAGGAGGAGCACCCGATATTCAATGGGTTGGCCGCGATGGTGGCACCCAAACTCAAATTCATCCAGGTGAAACGAAAATTGAAGAACGCCGACCAACAGGTGGTTCAGGCGAAGTACGCGTTATCGTACAACCAATTCAACCAGTCTTCTATATGCCACGCCAAAGTATGATCTTATGAATATCGATGGTTCTATCATTTGTCATTCTTCGAAATTCTAGCTGGTGGAACACCAACACCTGGTGCTGGCCCTGTTCCTGTTCAAGCCACAGGCGGTGCTCCCAATGTCGTCTATGTTCCACGTAATGTTTATGTGCCAGTTATTAAACCCGTTTTTGTTCCACGTGAACGTAAGTGATAAGACTTCATTCGCATGTTTTTTTTTATCACTTTCTGTTTGTAGGTGTTATCGTACGTCCTCAAGTCATACATGTTGCACGTCCTGTACTTGTCGACCGACCTGTTCCCGTCACGCAACGACCTATTATTATCGATCGTGAAAAACCCATTCCTGTGCCAGTCCGTGAAGGCCAAACAGCTGTGCAAGGCGGTGGTTCAAAAGTTGTTCGAGAAGAATATGTTTATCGAGACAATGTACCTGTTGCATACGGAGGCCGCTGTGCTGAGTTCGCTGGCGGTGTCAATTATGGTTACATGCCTACACAACAAGAACATCAATATGCTACTAGTTCAACACATGAAGTGTCAAATATTTATCAATCACAAGGAGCAGGCGTCAATGTGAATATCCCAAATGAATATCAACATAGTCAATCAAGTTCTCATGTCGAAGTTCAACAGGGCTGCGAAGGAAGTCTTCATGGTTCGTTTTCGAACTTAGCGGGTCAACAAGCCCAACAATACGCATCAAGTTCGACACATGAAGTCGCAGGTATGTTTTTCCTATTTCAGCTCATATCTGTTTACCATATTGGAATCTGCTTAGGTGGTATTGGTATCGGCGGCGGTGGTGGCAGTTTTCATGGTTCCTATTCCAATTTATCTGGAATTAATAACGCAACTGCTGTTAACGTTGCTCAACGTAACCAAGAAGTTCTTCGGCAAACTTTCGAACAATCTGCTCAAGCAGCAGGTGTTCCTCCTCATTGTCCAACACAAATCGAAGTGCTCGATACAGCTGTCAACCCATTCTGGCAAAAAACAGATCAGCCAACATTGATGCGTCGTTACGGACGTCCAGCGTTCGAAATTGTTCATAAGAGTGAAGAAGTTGAGCAACAAATGTATAGCGAACTTCGTCAACGAGAGAGCAGTGCCAACATTTTAAGATCAGCTTCAGCTGCTAGCTACGGTTCAGGTTCTGGTATAGGACTTGGTGGTAATGGTATTGCTCAATATTAAATATTTCGAAAATTGTTCTTGTTATTGTCGTAAGAAACATTTTATCGTATGTATGAAAAATTGTATTGAAAGACATAAAATATTTACAACGGCCACTTTATAAATTGTCATCGTTCTTTCATTTTTTTTCTCTTCTTCTTCTTCATCTTCTCGAATCTCATTTTCTTTTTCTTTGGTCAAATTCAACAGATTAGAAGAATCGATTTCTTCGTCGTCATCGTTTTTTTTATGTGTGTTTGTTGTACTGTTTATTGTTCTTTTGAAAAAATGCGTTTTGCTTCTTCCTAGAATACTATCCGTTCATATTATTTCTTTCTGCCTCTTTTTTCAGAATAAAAAAAGAACCTTCAATTGTGATCGTTTCCATCACACAGAACATGATCGACGTGGGAAGAAAGTCTAGCTGTTCGATATCCTGTATCTTTTCTTTTTCTTATTATTAAATAAAACTTGATATACGAAGCTGTATTAGCCCTACAAACATACAACATCCATGATACCATTGTGTAAAAGTGATGAGAACAAAGAGAAGAAAAATGATTCCATTATTTAATGAAAAGAGCGAACTCCTGCGGTTAATCGATTGATTTTTGATCGAGAGAAAAAGAGAAACTAGCGGCAGAATTTAAGAATGGCAAAAAGCAACCCGTAAGTTATCAACACGAAGAAAAGATTCGATGTTTTGTTATCAGTTGAATTGAGGTACGATCTTTTTTTCGCAAAGAAAAAAGGTGATGAATTGTCGCTCTTTCTGGTTATTCAAGTCATCATCAGCAAATAATCGTTCTCTCTGTCTCTCTTTTTCTCTGTGTTATCAAGAGGAAAAACGTTAAAAGATGCAGGCGAAATGTCTGTTACATAGATAATTTGTCCGATTAATTGATCAGTTACTGAAGAATAACGGAGTATCACGTACATACAAACTTGAGATATACATATATACAAGCACTTATACTCCCACGAGAAATGCTCAGAGGCGATTGACGTGCATTAGATCAAATATCAAGATAAAAACTTGTTTCAAACGAGAAAATGTAAGTTGCTCTCGTTGATATGGATAAATTAGTTTAAAGAAAAAAAAAGAGGTTGGTCGAGTCAACGACATCAACAGAACAAACTAGAAATGATAATAATCATAATAGTAAATCTCTTCTTTTTAACTGATAAAAAGATATATAAATGCCCATAGAGCAAACATAGTTCTCTTCTTCGTCATGTATATGAAAAAAAAACGATGAGACAGAATTTCTAGTTCGATTTCTTATGTAATTAGTAACCTTTTCGATTCATTTTTCTCTGGAAAAGGTTGAATCTGACAGGAGATCTTTGTGTTTATCTCCCGCGATGTTTACGTTTCAACAAACATATTGTTATTTTTTATAGTAGGAAATATATGTCGAGATAAATTTGCGTAGGAAACTGACAGTTCTGTTTTCTTAGTTAAAAGTACTTCTGTTCTATACTTAGAAAACATTAGCGATCATGAGACAAATCAATGATAATCCTGGTTAATCCTATTCGAAGAAACCTATAAGTATGAAGAACCAAGAACAAGTACCAATGACTGTTACAAAGTGTTGTCAGCAACCGTCGGAAACGGACAATGTACATGATCCGACAGTGGCAACAACGACAAATCGTCAACTCGCAAAGTATGGCCCACGAGCGAGCTGGAGTAGTCGTATCGTTTATCTTCTATCGATTATCGGTTTTGTGGTTGACCTAGGTGAGTCACTTTTCTTTTCATACTATAAGAATGTCATTTCGAGATTGTTTTGTCTTTTTGTTAGGAAACGTTTGGCGCTTTCCAACAACATGCTATCGCAATGGTGGTGGTGCTTTCCTTATACCTTATTTTACCTTCTTATTTCTTGTTGGTCTTCCTTGTAAGTTTTATTTTCCTCACATCATGCGTGAACTTTATCTCGCTTTGTCTAAAGGTATGTATATGGAACTAGCAATTGGCCAGTATCATCGTCTTGGGTATATAACTATCTGGGACAAAGTTTTTCCTCCATTAAAAGGAATCGGCTATTCGATGCTAATCATCAATATATATGTTCAATCCTATTATAATACAATTATCGCTTGGTCAGTTCATTATTGTTTAGCGTCGTTTCGTTTTATTGTTCCATGGACATTTTGTCACAATGAATGGAACACGGATTTGTGCTATTCTTTACACGACAAACGATTATTAAATCGAACTCATAATGCTTCACATTCGTCAACGGATGAATATTTCGAAAGACGTATGTTAAAATCTCATTTATCGCCAGGAATCAATCACATAGGTGCATTACAATGGGAATTAGTTGGCTGCTCGATAATTGTTTTCCTTCTTATCTATCTTTCGATAATCAAAGGAGTTAAAACCGCAGGAAAAGCCATTTGGTTTACAGCATTAGTACCCTACGTTGTTCTAATTATCTTATTATTACGTTCATTAACATTAGACGGCATACTCGAAGGTTTGAAATATTATGTTGCACCATCATTCGAACGCCTAGGCGAATATTCGGTGTGGCAAGCAGCTGCTGTTCAGATTTTCTTTAGTTTAGGACCTGGCTTTGGTGTTTTACTTAGTTATGCTAGTTTTAGTGATACACACGATAATGTCTCTGGTACAGCTTTGATTGCTAGTTTGGTCAATTGTTCGACAAGTTTATTATACGGAACAGTCGTTTTTGCTGGTCTTGGGTTTTTATCACATCGTTTACGCAGCGACGTGCGACAATTTACTGAGAGTAATATGGGTCTGGTTTTTGTTGTTTATCCGGAAATTTTAACGTCGATACGTGGTGCCCCATTCTTTTCCATACTTTTCTTTATGATGCTAATAACACTGGGTCTCGATAGTGTTTTTGCCGGTGCAGAAAGCATATATACAGCCATATCGGATGAGTTCCCTATCTTAGCTCGTACGCCACGTTTATCACGTGCTGGCGTTGTCATGGTGCCATTTTTAATATCGATTCCAACATTGACATACGGAGGAAAGTATGTCATACATTTTATGGACTTTTTCGGTACATCGCCATCAATTATGTTTATTGTTCTCTGTGAACTTATCGCGACCGTATGGCTCTATGGAATGGATAAATTTAGCAGCGATGTAGAAACGATGACAGGCCATAAGCCAAGTATTTACTGGCGTATTACATGCCGCTATATTGCACCGTTAATCTTGTTTATTCTTTATGTGTGTTCATTCATACAATTCGATAGCCAAGAGTTCGCATCGTTTGGTGGTGGAAATACAGCATTGAAAGTGAGTATTGCTGGCTGGTCATTGAGTACAATATCGATGTTGCCAATTCCGATATATGCGGGTTGGTGGTATTTATCTCGACGTCAGACAAATACAACAAAACGAACAACAACAACGAGCGTCGTTGCAGAAATAATTCCCGCTGCCGAACACGAGCCGTTTATATAAGTTGAACACTAGTAGTGTCCTTTTTTTTAGTTTTTTTCTCTTGTTTTCATTGAGTGCCGTAATCTCGTACAAATAAAAGATACAAAAAAGATTCATTGTGACTATTTCTCGAAGAAGAGCCCCGGATGCAATGTGTCTTTATTAACTGCATACATTCACTCACTCTCTAAATAATGAAAGTGATGAGTTGTTGTTTAAAGTAAGATAATTTATTGCGATCAAATCGTCGGCATATCTTACAGCCACTGGAACTTGACCGAAATTATCGATATGTGCGGTCTTATTAAAAAAAAATACAGTCGAAGTTTGTTGATTCGAAACATATTTAACGAAATCACTATGTAGATTTCAAGAAATATATAATTTGAATGAAGTTTAAAAACGACTCAGTCAATATTTAAAATGATGCATATACCTTTCCAGTAGTTGAGTATCATCTTCGAAACACTGCCGCAGATGTTCGTAATAATTATGCGCTACGTGCACGAGTACAAATAGATAGCAAGTAATAGTGACGTGAATGGTAATAAGAAACGTATATATCATCTTCAAGTACACGGCTATGACCACAGGGAATACGTGCGCATTGTCAGGACTATTGATATTAACCGACATCTGCATCATACAAGGTAGATTAACAGTCAATGAATACGAAGATAAGCGAAAAGTTTGAGTCGTTTAAAGAAAGAGGATATTGGTCTCGTAATCAACAACGCAATAGCATGAGTGTACCACAAATAGAATATCTATAGCGAACTGACTCGTGAGAAATGATTTATAAACTCAGTTTTGGGACTTTGTCATTTTTGTCAATTCTCGTTTACCTTCGAATTACACTACCCTAAAACACTTACGCCAAGTAATTCAACATTCTGCTATCGTTGAAGTTAGAAGAAAATCTTTTCGTGATTTCATTGTCATGCTGAGCACCGGTTCGTTTATTACTTGTTCTTGAACATTTGATACAGAAAAAAAAACAACGAAAATTAGACATCATCGAACAATAAATATCGTTGCAAAAATACAGGTAAATCTAACTTTTTCACCGCACGTTCAATACGGATTTTCAGTGATGAATTAAATAGATAATCTCGGATTTGCTTTCGAGTTATATTTTTCAATGTCTGTGGCGTCGTTGCTGCTCGATAGATTACTGACTTAGTCGTTTCATCTAATTCCGTGCATTCAACGATATAATTTCGATGAAATAAGTAAGCCGCCTCACAAAGTACTTCAATCAAATGCGAATTCGATTGAAACCGACGTAGAAATCGCAAGACACTATCTGAAAACATCAACAAAACTTGCATTTTCATGTGAAAATACTTGAACGAACCTCGTCCTCTGGAAAACGAAACTCGTGCGCCGTACCCAATCAAGAGACGAATAATTCTCATGTCCAATCGTCGATCACGAGCGTAATTAATATATGTTACCAATGGTGTTCGATATGGCACATGCTGATGATGATGCTGAGGATTATATGAAACTGATTGATTTGGTTCAGCATCATTTTCTAACAAACTTTTTATGATCGAATACTGGTTTCCTAAGTTTGCTAGTTGACAAGCGAGAATCAATGGAGTGATGCATTCATTATCTTCATTCGTTTCCTCATTTGTATCAGCACCAAATGCTAAAAGAGAAGAAATCGTTTTTTCCTTCGAATAAGTTCACCTATTTACCGATTAATAATTGTACAGTATTGATATCATCTTTGCGAATCGCTAATTCTAATGGTGAATTGCATAAATCTGGATGTTTATTAGTAAAACCACCGTAGATCAAGAGTTGTTCAATAATATCACCACGTTTCGAATCGATCGATGTAATCAGAGCGTTTCGTTGTCGAAATTTTCTCGTTACATAATTTACATTCGCACCGTAGCGACATAGGAGAGTGACTGCACCGAGATTTCCTTCGCGACACGCTTTGATTAACGGTGTTATACCACTTCGCGAAAGTGCGTTTGGATTCGCTCCGTGTTTTAGTATTAACTCCAACGAAGACAGATTCTCATATGGTAATAGATTAATTTCATAACCGAGAAAATAATGTTGATTCACGTTGGCGCCAGAAAACAGTAATAAACGTGCACAATCGATATGATTATTCTCTAACGAAAGACTCAAGGGCTCAATGATAACTTCTTGATGGGATGTGGTAACTGAATGTGTGGAAGCAGTATGAAAATTGACTAGCGAACCATTGTCAATCAAAACATGGATGATATCAATGAAACCGTATTTGGAAGCTAGATGCAAGGGTGAGTAACCAGCGTCATCAAGGACATTGACATCAGCATGGTAATCCTCGACGAGAAGACGCACACATTCCAGATCGTTCTCGAATACAGCGTAATGCAATGCACGAAGACCGCGACGTACAGCTCCATTGAGATCTAATTGCTTGAAACTGAAAACAAAACATACAAAAGAATGATTCGGATGTGTTCTTTTTTCGCTCGTGATTAAATACCAAAGAATACGTTTGATATCTTTCAAAGGTAAATGTTGCACAATAGCATCTCGAAGAAGTATGAGAATTGCGTCGCCATCCACAATATTTACAGACATTTGGCTGTTGTTATTTATTGTTGCTTTTCTTCTTGTGCATTATCGAGTTTTTTGTTTCCTCCTATTTATATAACTCGGCTTAAGCCTTCCACTTTAGTACGCAGTTCTATATTTTTTCTATTGGCTTTTCTTTTTTCCTCATCTCCGTCATTATCATATCATCTGATCTTTCCATGTCGAGGTTGTCGTCGCTTGTCTATACGCACATATGTAAAGAAAATCTAGCATCAATGTTAGACACACGATATGTGCACCCAATCACTCCTGATTAATCTATCGATCTTGTGACAAATGACACGAGTAGACCGATGCACATGTTAACCTTTCATTATCTCGTTTTTTTTTTGAAGATTTTCTTGCCAGCACATTAACGAACTAACTAAACTATCATCAAATGGTTCCTTGCATATATAACGAAAAGAAGGACAAAGTATCTAGTAGACTACTATCGCTATCGGTCAAGTGAACCAATACATTGTGTGTACAAGAAGGATAAGCATTGTGTGACCGGTCCATACATGTCGAGTAATGAGAAAAGAATTATGTCGGTCAGTTCGACCTCCTTATGTCGATATAGACAATGTGTACGAAAGATTCGTACAGTAATCATAGCGGTCATAACCAACGGAGAGAACTGTGCGTCATAACCTTTTTTCTTCTTGTTTGAAAAGAGTGAATCGAAGGTTTCAATTGGCCTTATTCTTCTCGTTCAATCGAGAACGGAGAAGAGAAACATGTTCATCATTTTATGTTGTCGGTCATCCGTTCGATAATTCCTCAAGTTTAAAGAAAAGAGAACAGTTCGACATACATATATACGTGTACACATAAGGTCAACGATTGTGTGTGCAGATGTTCATAAGAGAAGGAGAACGAGGAAGAAAATGGGTACATATAATGGTCATCATGACAGAGAGAGGGAGAGAAACGGGTCACATTGACCTAACTCAAGATGACCCCAGACATGAACATACACATCTGCATCATATTACTTTGACCTAAAAATAAAAACTAAATAAGAGAATGAATTAGGGCAACGAGAGAAAATCTATTGAGAAAGAGAGAGAGAGAGAGAGAAGGGAGAAAGAAAGGTCAGTTTCGTGTCCGAGTCCAACGCGAATAGCCGTTCATCTTGATTCTTCGATCAGCACAATGACAACAAGCATTCAAGTTCGTTTCTAATCAGACATCCTTGAAATACATGTATTTGATTTTTGTTCTATTAAACAGAAAATGCAATCGAACGATCTCCTTCGTTCATCAGCGTCTCCGTTTATGGAATCATCTCAAATGTTTCCTAATAATTTTCAATCGCAACTGAATATGCTCTACGCTCTTACACAGCAACAACATCAACAACAACAACAACAACAGATTTCACCGCCAGATTCAAAAGCCAAACGTATCAAGTAAGTCCTTGACCATTTCGTCTTGTCAGAAGCTAATTGTTTTTTTCGTTATCAAGAAAATCAATGCCGTTATCTAATGATCTTCCTACTCAAGTGCCATTGATATCCGCCACTGAAAGTGCATGTCTAAGTGATCGGGAAGTCGTAAAAGTCGTTACCACAGCAGGTCCGCAATGTGTTGATAAAGACTTTTTAACTCAACTATTGACAAGAAAGGATGTTATTCCCGCACGTAAACGTCGTGACTTTATTCCCAACGATATGAAAGATGATCATTACTGGGAACGACGACGTAAGAATAATCTAGCTGCAAAACGTTCGCGAGAAAAACGACGTTTAAACGATATTGTTCTTGGTAAGTACAGTTGTAATTCATGAGTTTTGTTTGACGATGTTTTGTTATAGAAACCAAAGTTGTCGAATTGACCAATGAAAACGAAGCATTGAAAGCTAAACTTCACTTGATGCTCTCTCATTTGAATATGAAAGAAATTGATATGGAAAGTTTGTTTGAAGAAGAACAACGTCTTGGTCACATTTGTCTCAAACCTGCAACGAATGCTTCGGCAATTCTTGCTCAACATGATACAGATAATGACGATGATCATTCTTCCTATGATGAATTTCGTCCTATTCATCAACAATCGAAACCGAACAACGACAATATGGCGATTGATTTAAGTCGCACAGAAGTTCAAACAGGAAATCTACTACGTAAAAGTCCATCGCCACTCACGCCATCGCCTTCGCCACCCAATGAATCTTTGTTACAAATTCTTGCTAATCAAATGTTTCACGCCAAACCTCAAGAAACACCGTCCTCATCTTCATCACGTTTACTAACGATTGCTTCACCACCTGAAAGCAAACCACAGAAAAGATCTTACAACCAAATACAACAAGATAACGATCAGCAGCAAAAATGGGACGAAGCAGCAATGACATTACTTTCATTAAACAAACCTCAATCGGCGCCGCCAGCAGCTGCACCCGTTGAACAGCAAGCTGCACTTCAATCGGTTATCAACGGTCTTCTACGAAAACCGAACCCTCCCAAAGCAACTATCGATTATCATAGTCAACAACCTTCGAGTGAAAATTTCACATCATTTGAACAATGGAAAACGTTGATGAATTACTTTTCAATGCCGGCAGCACAACAATCAACATCGTTCAATCAAACGATTACTCCTGCTCAACAGATGCAAGCTCAACCGCAATCACACGAGCCACGTGGTGATATGATGCCATTGAAACTACGAATGAAGATGTTAAATGCCAAAAGTTAACAGCCATATGACGAGCTAGAGCACAAGTTATAACAGTAAAATGAACAGTTTTCGTACATATGTATATCTATTTGACGAATCAATCCTGTTGGGAAACAAATCATAGACGAAGCGGCGAGGTATGAGCAGCGACATAGACTCCTGTGTCTTGATGAGACAATTGTATAGTCAAAATGAAGATGAAGTTGACAGTGTGCGGTAATAAGAACGCAGACGAGGCCCTTTAGCACAGTTCGCCGCTCATGTGAAAGCGACCTGCACAAAATTGCAAATCTAACATCTATATTGAAGCAAAGGAAAAACGAGATAATGTATATTGTAGTTGTTATATAAACGAGACGAGAAAGCAAGAGAAGCTAAACTTATGTATTTAAATTGTGTCATATTGCATGTTTTTCTTATCTTAGTCTGCATCGAATATTTTACTCCGAATGTTGTCAAATGTTTTCTTTTTTTTTTGTTTGTTTTTCTCTTTCGTTAATAAATAATAATTAAGCAATATAAACAAGATGATATTCGTTTCTTCATCTCTTTTGTATTAGGAATACCTATTGTATTCATTCTTTTCAAATCGACCATGAAGGCCATTTACAACTTCATTTTAACGTATGCAATCGAAGCGACTGTCTTTTTTCTCTTTTTGTTCTTTTCTTCCCATTTTGAACATAATGGGATTGCATAAACACACACTTTTCTTTGCTTCTATTCATACATTCATCTCAATAGATGATCGATGTTCATAGTGCATATAAAATGACATACGGTCGATGTTCAGCGTCGTACGAATAGGAGCTATCATCGCTCTATTCACCTGTTCATTCAACCATATCACATTCATTCATTTTGAATAAACATTTCAATACTCTTGTTCTTCCAATATTGTTTAATAAAGATAGAGGACAGTTCATAAGAAATATTTAAACGGTCAACTATGTTTTCAAATCCTGTCTATAATCTCCCACCACAATTCAATGAAAATATTCTTACACAAAACCTTGCCGGTCTTTCGTTGAACAGTGTTGTGCCACCGCATCAAGATGGTCAACAACGACAAAATCTCGATTTTGGTTCCTTTCAATTCGCTCAGCAACAACAGGCGCAACAGCAGGGACTTGATATCGGGGGATATGTCGCACCGGCAGTGGACGAGTCAAATATAAAGTGGCCATCGCCAGATGATGTGAATACCTCCTATCAACGTGGTTCGACTGTTGTACGCCAGTATAATAACTCGATGATTGATGATTATTACAAAAAATTTCTGCGTCCAATTACTGACTATGTCGCCATACCAACAAATGGTCAACCAACTTACGTTTATCAAAACTTAGGTGGACCGAATGCCCCAGCCACTGTCGGACTGGCTCAGCAGTCGATAGGTGCAGGTAGATACGTCAAGCAATTCATAGAATTATTTCGGTGATATTTTCTTGTAGTGGAGCCAGTCAGTGATCCTGCAGGAGTTGTACCTGCCGGTTCACAGCAGAAACCTGAAGGCACGGAAGAAAAGAAACATAAGAAGAAACATAAGAAACGCTCATCGAAACATGCACATGACGATGGTGGTAAACATTCGAAAGTAGCTGATGAACAGTACGAACATTTTTATTCTTCACTTCCTGTGTAATTTCTTCAACTTTATAGAAAAGCGAATCAAGCGGATGTTGTCATACATAAAGAACTGCCATCTATTCCAGTCAGAGGTAATGCTGAACAACAACAACAGCAGCAACAACAACAAACACCACCGCAGCAGCAGCAGCAACAGCAACAACAACAACCCGCTGGTGGAAATGCTTTAACAAATACGTAAGAAGAAACAACTTTCCCAATGAAATTTTAAAAACAATTTTCCTTTCCAGAGGTGCTGCTGGTCCTCAAGCACCCATGCGATGTGCCACTAATCCCGTAGTTTATTTTGATATTGAAATCGATAATGAAGCACGTGGGCGGCTCGTCATGGAATTGTTCCGTCATGTTTTGCCACGCACATCACAAAACTTTCTCTCACTGACAACCAACGAACATGGGTTTGGTTTTCGGTTATCATACTTTCACCGAATTATTCCAGGTTTCATGGCTCAAGGTGGTGATTTCGAAAAATCGAATGGCACAGGTGGTTATTCAATCTATGGTGAAAAATTCGATGACGAAGGTTTCCCATATCCACACGATCGTCCAGGTCTCTTATCCATGGCTAATAGTGGACCGAACACCAACGGAAGTCAATTTTTTATTACATTCGAACCATGTCCTCATTTGGATAACAAACACGTCGTTTTCGGTCAAGTTTTACAAGGTTTTCATCTTCTTAAAGATCTCGATATGAGCGGATCCGAAAGCGGAGAAGTATTACGTGAAGTGAAAATCGCTGCTACAGGTCAACTTCAATAATCTATTAAGCGAAATTTTCTACCTCAACGTCCGTAGACATACTAAAAACTAAACGAAAAACCAATATAAATATATCATTTTTGTATAAATTTCAATCTTTCGTAGTTAGGAATAATGAAAAGAAAAACAGGAAATATTGTTCTATGAATTTATATATCAGATGTTGTCTTCGTATCAGTATTTGTGTAATAGCTATTGTAGTTGTTGTTATTTGATGTTTTTAGTTTTTTTGCTCTTCTATCTTTCCCGTCTTTAATCATTGAAATAAATGACACAACAATTTTGCAATGTCGCCTTTGCGCTTGGAGAAATAGACCGCCGCATAATCATCGGACACACGAATGAAAAATGATTATCTAACGCATTTGATGTTGACGTCCCATCTGACGCTTGTCCATTGGGATTTACTAGTCTCTGTTAAATTCATACCGTTCTCGGTGCGGTCACTGTCTGCCGGACAATCTTAATAAAATGAAACTATCAATTGACCGGCTAACACGCCATATTACCTGACATACTGCTTTCGTTCTTTCGATGATAAGCAGTATTCTGCATTTATCCAATTGACAAGTCCTCCGAGTTATATAATTGCATTTTCTCCACTCAAAATAACCGTAATATAGTCAATAACAAAGTCTTTTCTTCTAGTCATTCACTCAATGACTCGATTGGCAACATCCACTACAGAAAATAGTCAATCATCGTAAAATCTATTCATCCGGGTATATTCATAGAAAAAAAAATACAAGAAAAAGAACGGCACGCCCGAACAAATGACACAAAACTATCTTTTATGTTTCAAAGATTGATTCCATAGTTCAAAGATCTGATAATTCTGTCCATTCAATGTTGAAAAGTCCTGACTATCAATCGTTTGATAAATGTGTTTCGAGTGATTACATGAATGATGTTGATGATGATGGCGATTCTGTGTTGGCGATAATGATGCTTCAATATGGCTGCTATCAGTTGAGTTCGATAAATTTTCCGAATTGTAGATGATTTGATGATGCGGACAATGATAGACAGGATACGGATATTGCTGTGAACATTGCTCATAAACAGGCTGACAGTTCGATGTTTTATATTTGCGAATTTGATAACATAAATAACAACATGTTAATAATAATATGAAGGTCAGTAATCCGCCAGCACATGTTCCGATTAGTAACAAATAAACATGATGGTCAGATTTGCCGTCCGATTGAACGATTTCGTTATTGTCGAAGTCGAGCTGATTGACAATCAGTGGTTCCCAAGTTTGAACATCTCGGCAGTACTTATCTCGAGAGTATTTATGTATTAAGATTAGACATACGTAATAGTATTTATTCGATTGAATGTCGTTCGATATAAACACACGTGTTTGATTCGCAGGTAGTTTAATCAGCATTTGATCAACGGTGATCTCAATAAACGATAACGTTTGATGATTATCAATCAGAATCCATTCGATCAGTAGACCAGTTTTACTTGCCATTGTAATATAAGTTATATTGAAATTTAAAAGACGTGGTATTAACATGGATTGACATTGGAAATCGTTCGATGATGAACAGGTGAAGAGAGCTTGTCTCGTTAGATTGGTCAACCATTTCAAATGACAATTACAATCTAAGAGATTATGATTGAGATTAAAGTAGGTTAATTGTTCGTAGAGAGGATGATTTTCCAGTGCTTTCAATTGATTGGAACTGAGATCCAGTGATGTCAGTGATTTCGGATGTGAATTGATTTGAATTTGTTGGAAATGATTGTGACTGAGATTGAGAGAAGTTAGATTCTCGTTTAAACTTGTCCAGTCAATCGTGGACAAGTGGTTGAAACTCAAATCGAGTACTGAGAGTTTCTTATTGGAGATGGTTAACGAGTAAAATTCTTGAAGGAAGTTTCTCGAGAGATTCAATGAGATCAAATCGGGATTATTCTGTAAAATAATCGATGAGAGTTGATTATTCGCCAGATTCAGCTGTGCGTATGTTGTCGACAGAAAGATCGACTTTGAAAGTAGATTGTTTTCTAAGTTTAAAACTTGAATATGGTTCAAATGTGGAATCTGTTTGATTTGACACGATTGTAAAAACAAAACTTCCAATTTGGTCATATTGATAAAAATATTCTGAAGATTCACGTGATTTAGATTGAAATCATTTAGTTTCAACACACGCAATTTCTTCAATGGATAACGTGTGAGAAATTCCAAAGTATCGATTTCTGTATCACCTGATAGCGTCAGTTCTTCGAGGTAATTTCCCAACAATCGTAGCAGATCTTCATCGATATAGGAGAGTGCATTGCCGACTAAATTGATACGCTTGATCGTTTTAATGTTATTAAATGACGATGCAGTGAGAAATTTGATATTGTTATTTGTTAAGATCAATTCGTCGTATGGAAATGAACGTTTGAATTTGGGAATTTCATTGAGAGAATTTTCTTCACATTTGATATAAGATTCACCATTGGTTAAGATTCCACAGTGGCAACGAGAGAGATATTCATCAGTTAACGGACACGAGTGAATAGGAAGAAGCCAAATCGACAGAAAGATGAAGATGAACAACATCTAAAACGAAATCAAATGGACACCGACTGAATGAAAGTGTACTCTCTTGAGTTTAAAATATCTGCTCGATAGACTTCTACATACGCAAGAGTGAAAGTGAATATTGGATTATCTTACTCAACTAGCTGATTGATATTCTATCCTTTTTGAGTAGCTAAGATGACAAGAACAACAGTCAACTGTAATGTTTCCGAATTCTTTATGTAATACAAGCAAGAAAAAGACCTGATAAGAAGAAAACAGTGAAAAACAATCATCTATGATGTAAGCTTATCAATTGAAAGAGAGATAGGGCAAACATACATACTCATCTTTATTCAATTCAGCTTGCATTCTTACCCTATGTGTGTGTGTGTTGATAATGTACAATTTGCACATAGTTCATCACTGTCGGAAAGATAGTTCACTGAATTTTTTCCTCTTACCCACCTACGGAGTTTAAGGGCAAGTAAAGAAAACGAAACTGAATCGATTGTCACTTCACTTCACGATGACGACCACAACGTTAAGTGGTTTAATAGAATTGAAATGACAGGAAGAAAAGTTGTCGTCACTCATCGCAAAATCGTTTTTCTGTTCCTTCATCTTCTTCGCTTGTTTTATGAGCACTGTATACCAAATAAGCGGCAACAGACCGGATGACGGACATATACATATATAGAACGTATTGTGAGTCAATGGTTCATCAGTAGGCGCACGCGTGTCGCTTGTGTAATCGTACTTGACACTCCGCCCATTTCAACAACATCCAAAGAGCAAAAGAAAAAAGTCAAAATGTACGAGAATGATGGTGATGCAACAAATCAGACCGAGAGGTTTAATCGAAACAACAGAATGAATAAAAGCTCGTTTGTATCATTCTCTTACAAATATCCAGAAAAAAATTAGTGCATAAGAGACAGCGAGAAAGAGAGAGAGAGAACCAGAAAGAAACAACAATAATCACATTCTCACTTCTTATTAAACAGATCATTCTGATATAGTTAATTCGTAGTTTTTCTCGTGTAATCTCTGGAGACGTAACAACACGTTAGATCTCTAATGCTCATAACTATCTATGTGAACACACTGAACGACTAAAGAGTGAAAGTCGAAACAAATTCCAAGCTGCATTTGCATTCAACTTCAAACATCAATCAACGATGAAAAAAAAAAAGAAAACGATTATCGACTTCCCATGCCGGGCAGAAAAGAAATCACCACCTGTCTGAAGACAAGCTGATAAAAGGCGCAAAGTGCCTGTTCTAACCTTCAAAAAGCTCTCAGGTATAGCGTATACTAGAACGATGAGTAATTACAGTTCAATTCCGGCATTGAACAGACGAAACTATTTGTCCTTACCTTATCAATTAGATTTTAGGGAGGAAAAATCGAGTATCTACCCTGAGATTCATTAGAAGAACAATATATATGCAAATATTCGAACTATGAAATGGTCCGTTATCGATAAGATGAGAATGAAGAACACACACGTATGTATATATATACACACTCATCATTACACTACTCAAGCATGCATACACTCCACAAAAGGTAACAATCCCACAATTGAATTAGTCTTCGTCTATGAATGGATATTGATGGAAAGAAAAACTGATGATAGATGCAAAAGAATTAGTTTCTGAAGTGTTGACTGACAAATGAAAAAATCTAAATAAACTTATGATTACAGAAGACAAGATCAATAAATAACATTGTCTTCGATAGGAATATGAACATAAGAGCAT